GGATCTATCAGTTCTCTGAAGTCTTAGTCATAGTCAGCCGCATAATGTACTATACATTTCTTTACAAAGTCCTGTAGGTACAATACACATAGCCTAGAGATCTAGGTTTTATCATGTATACAACGGATCTTAAGCCTTCAGCAATTCGGGAACTGCTGTACCCCTTGCAAATTGCCAGTAGTGGAGACAACATTTTCTTGCAGGCGCTGTAATTGGAATAGCTGTGTGTCTGCCTCAGATTCTCAGGCTGGGCAAGAATATGTCTTTTTGGACCTACTCAGTTGCTAGTTTAATGTCAGCCCTTTGTCGCCCAATTTTGAATATGGAATATACCTTAATATTTGTCCTTAAGGCCGTGGATTCGATCCTTTCCAGGTCTAATTTCCATGAAATTCTTATATCGAATATTAAATCGATATGTACTTTACGAATGCGTTGTTTAGCTCTTTCGGCGTAAGACGAGCCTTAGTTGCTGTACTTGTGGGAAAAATATATGACTTGGGTCTTACCTTCATTGTTGTGTTCCAGTGCTCACAACACGTTTCCGTTGAACTGATGTGGTGCTACAGCTTTCTGAGAATGCAACGCTCTTTGCGATTTGATGCATATACAGGGTGTCAGTAAATGGTTGATACATTTTTAAGTTGTTGTACCAAGGTATACAGCTATAAAGTTGCAACTAGTGCCATTTGAATGCCAAAATCTGCAGGTTTTATATATCCTAAAGATGCTCAATATGAGCTCCATTCATGACCCGAAAAATGTGCAGTCTCTAATCCAGTTGATCCCATACTCTTTCTGACATGTTCCTGTCAATCGTCTCCACAGCTGCGGTAATTCTGAACTTCATTTCAATAGTATCCAGTGGTAGAGCTGGCACGAACACTTGTTCCTTTGCATAACTCCACAGAAAGAAGTCACATGGCTCGCTGAACACTGGTGTACAAATTCGTTTTCGCGTACTTAATCACGCAAAAGCTGTTCTCTGTGGGAGACGTCATATCTGATAATTGCCGAGCCTGGAGGTAAATACAGTTAATATGGAGATATACCACCAATTTTGAAATCCGAGAATTTGACTTTCCACTGATACCGGTTATATGTGGGTATGCTTTGTAGTTTCCTTGTATTTTATCCCCGAAAGTGTATCAATCATTTACGGGCACATGTATAACGGTGCCATTAGCAGATAGGGCTGGGTAAAACACCTGAGACTTGGGGCGCATAATTTATGCACCTAATGTGCAATGTGAGGGACGGGTTAGAACTTTGTGGCATCTCATCCTGTATTTACCTTGGCGTAGACATTTCATTTTCGACCAAAACTTTGAATTTTCTCGCCGGAAGAAAGGACCTAACAAGCTTGATTATACTGGTCGAAAATTCTAAATTAGATAATTTATGTAACAAGCCAGATTGCATTGTGTCAGAGGCATTTCGGTATCCATTAATGTGCATCTGTAGATATTAATATTGAAATTTTAAACTAATGTGAACCGTAAGCCTCATACATTGAAGTTTCGTGCTTTAATGTGAACGAAAAATGTTATATATATTCTTTTGGACAGATGTGTCCACACATCAGATGCCAGTTAGCGATATGTTCCATGTGTTTACACCTTTACCACCAGGAAAGGAGTCCATGGTACCCATTGGTGAGCTCTGTCGTCAGTCGAATCCTGATATCCCGTCAAAGCCCTGACTCAGCTGTTTATATTCGAGGACTGGTTAATGAAGAAACCCCAGTCTGTTTGTCATTTGGTGTACTGCCGCAACATTCTAGGAAGGAAATGCAGTACGGCACTCACACTTAATTACAGCGTAATGAAATAATCTAAAGGCGTATGACGAAGCAGACATACAGCTCCACGCATTCTTAACCTAGGTATTAGCCAAGGTGAACTGTCAGTTTCACGTTGTTGCCAGTCTGGGAGTCCCAGGAAGTTCCTTCCTTAACTAAAATATTAACCCGTTATCACTGTTATAATTAATTTATATCGAGTTTGTTATTTGTACGGTTTCAGATTAAAAAATTAACCTTTTTTGCGAAGCGTAAAACTGTCACTCACGTCCATGAGGTTAAGAATATGTGCAGCCGTACCTCCATTCTCATATAAGTCATGTCATGGTGATTAAATGTAGGGGCAACTTTACATTGAATGACAGGAATAAGAAATGTAAACAGGGCTCTGAGATACATAGTATTTTAATGTGTTCATTTGGGAATATGTTGTTCAGAACTGTGAAAAGAAGGGGCCTGTTAACAGCGGTGCTTTTTTGCGAGGGTTTCACCCCAGCTGTGGCTTACAGACCGCGTATTTGTGAAGTTGCTTTAGCCTCTGAAATAAATCTAAATCCATTATTTACAAGAAAATGGAATCACTTATGCTGCATAAATGTACTGGAGCGGTTAAATTTCGCTAAGAAATTATAAAATTTATTTGCCTGTAAGGGATTGAAATTTCTGACAATATGAAGGTTCACTTCTCTCGGTTGACCATTTAAAAATGACAAAGCCCGGCCAAAGAATTAGAGAATACAATTTCAGAGGGTATAGTGCGGAAGGAAGGGCGCTAAAATTATTGTTCAGGTCAGGCGGAATGCAGACCAGGGTCCTTCAAATTCGTTACCGCAGATGCAGCTTGCTCACGTTTCCCTTGTATTCCGGGAGGTCATTTTGATTACGGTGATAAATTATGCGTGACTGCTATTTTGAAACCAGATACCTATTTGCTTCAATATGGCAATCAGTAAGTACAGTATTATCGTTAGTTTCACAAGCTGTTTGGTAAGGGTACTTCGCAAGGCCGCGCCATAGCTCAAGCGGTTAGTAGCTGGCTTCCCACCGACGCGGCCCGGGTTCGATCCCGGGTCTGATCAAGTGGGATTTGTGGTAGACAAAGTGGCGCTGGTGCGGGTTTTCCCCGAGTACTTCAGTTTCCCCTGCTAATCTTCATTCCACCAAATTCACCATCATCATAATCACCCTGGTCAGGCTACAATAGGCCAATCAATGGCCGCCGTGCTGAGTGGACCCAGTTGGACTCCACCCCCACTAAGCGAATCTTTAATAATAAAAAAAAAAAAGCTTCGCCACGAATTGATCCAGCGAACTTGTTCATTAGTGCTCCCATCATGGACCCTATGATGAGCAAAGGAAAATTAAATATGTATGTTGAATATAAGTTATTGATTGGAATTCATTACATTTGCTACATTAAAGTTCCGGAGTACCATTAGATTAGGAGGAAAAACGTACGTGTCTGTACACAACAGTGCACATGTCGTAAGGAGTTACGTGTAGCGAGGGCAAAGAAAGGAATTCAGCACATTGCTTAAGTGATGCAACATTCTGACTGGGGTCCACAGCAATGTTGACTCTGCAATATGCGTTGTGCCATATGATGATATGTTATGCTTCCTTCAGTGACGTTCTATGAGTTTCGTCAGATAAATTTTGTATTTTGAACTTCTACTAGAACAGAAACCAGAATTTTATCATTTTAGCATGTTCTATTACTAAAACTTTTTGGTTTCAGTTTTAAGGCTAATGCAATAACTCTAAATCCATGAGTGTACATTTATGTTTAGCGTTTCGTGTTATATGTAGTTCATTTAAATACTGAGCTTATTTCGTTTTAAATGTTTAAAAGAATTTATCCTTTACTGATTCATTGCAGTCCATCTGCCTAATATAGCATATACAGCAAATTACGCTGACGAAGAAATGATATTGTAACATTGCTGTAGTGTAATGCTCATGAACGGTTACCTGTTTGATAACATGATGCTGTACATGAATTATGAATCTCTGCTACTAAGGATTCAAGGTAACACCTTGCGATTTACATTTTAAGCAGAGATGGGCCGTAAGGCGGCCCATACACGTACGAGTCCGGCTCGGCGAGGAGTCGGGCTCGGATTAATTTCACTACACACACATGAGCGTGGCGATTTACACACGGACGAGTTTGGCTCATTGGAACCCGAGCCGAGTCGAGTCGGACTCGCGACCTAGACTCATATGTGTATGGGCCCCCAAAAATTATGCCTGCAATCGAAGTGAGCGTGTTTTGCTTGGAATACATCGTTAAGGCGCCTTGGAAACCCGAAGAATATGTACTTAAGTAGGGGCAACGGGTGAAAACGGCCGAAGTGTGAGCGCACAGATCCGTGGATTCGGTTGTAAAACACGGTAGCAGAATGCTGACCGCACACATCGCGTGATCGCTGATTTAGCGGCAGGACTAACTGCATGTGGGCCATATAAACCAACGTTCTCAGTGATAGGAGGACGTGTTTACATTGTGTGTATGACAGCCAGTCGAGAGGCAGTTCCTGGACCATGGCTCACTGGTCTTCGGAAAGTTCACCCCCCCCCCTCAAAAAAAAACCGTAGTGACTGACTTTCTATATCAGTGTTTTAAAAATAAATGGCACTGGTGTTTTTGCTCATCTGTGTTTTCATCTTGACATTGATGGAGGGTCTGTACATATTGAAAGTAGCCACAAATATATTGAATTAGCAGTTATGGACAATCGTTAATGGGTAATCCTCCAACTTGGAGTTGGGCATGGCTAACAATCTGTCACTGTAAAAAAATCAGCCTGTTGCAAAATGATGTGCAGAGCCTTTGACTAGGACAAATTACTGGAACAACTTAAGTAACGGAAAATGAACATGAAATTTGGTATATGAAATGTAAGGAGTCTCTGTAGGTCATGTTCATTGACATTAGTTGCAAGAGAAATAACAAAGTATAAGTTACATTTAGTGCGAGTGCAGGAGGTAAAATGGGATAGGAATGGCACTGAACTAGCAGGTGATGGAAATTTGTTTGGGAATCATGATGGGAAGTGATGCACCTGGAACAGGAATATGTCCAGTGCTAGGAGTTGGCATTGAATTGATTGTACACAATTGTTTATAAAATTGGGCTTAATGTGACATTTCTTGTCTCTGGAACTGCTGGACGTAAGCATTGGTTGGCGTGTTACAGGAACTGAAGGAGAGCTTCAACTATGGCCTCTTCTGCCCTCCTGTGAATGGTAAAGCTGGCAAGTTCCTGGATGAGGAACGGCGTCTTGGAGACTATCCGTTCAGTGGACCTGTTGGTTATTTGGAGGTATGTGGTTCTCACATGACGAACTGTAATTTGTACACTCATAGGCCAATTACTTTTTAACAAAAGAGTTGGTCCATTATTATGCAGTTCTGCTTCTTACTGGAAATTAAAAGGAGACTATTGGACTTGGTAGAATGACACTACATGTTATGCAGGCAGGAGAACAGTAGATATGCTCAGTGCTTTTGTTTTTCTGGAAACACGTTTGCCGATATTCTCATGCTTGGTTTTACCTTAAGAGTTGATGTATACAGTTCAGTGGTAGATGTGCTACTTTTTATTTCTGACAAGTATAATTGGTGTTTGAATTGATGTTTCAGCTCTGGTAGAACATTTTAAGTCCTCCCAGGTTAATGCAACAACAAATAACTTAGGCAACCAGAGAAACTGCGCATTTGAAGCTATTCTACCAATCCAAATCAACAACATTTTCTTCAGTAGATATTTTATTTATTAACTCAGTTATTTATGGTGAATGAGTTGCATGTTACATAATTTATCTGTGCAAGCAAGGCATAATCTTCACCTTCTTAATATTGTCACGTGTATGAGTGACTGCAGATGAAGTGTGGATTGGTAATTGGATTTGTTTAATGCTTATACACACAACTCATAACAGCAAGTAGCTGTAGCGCTATTGCTACTTCACACTCTGCAATTCACTACAGCACACACTTAAGTCTTCACAGACTGCTGTGTCTTCACCAGTCATTGCCTGGTGGCAGATCCCAGCAATGTCCTCCGCTTCTGTGCTCATGTTTTTACTGGCTGGCGACTGTACCACAACAGCCTCCTACTCTTCTAACTGCCTTCAGTGTCAAAGTCAAAGTTATGTTATGGTCAGTCTTGGAATAAAACACCCATCTGGGGCTTAAGACAAGATTTTTATTACTGTTAGACAGTTGCAGGTTTGATGATGTGGGGCGCTTTCTCTGATGAGAGGAAGGGTCAGAGTCACAATCAGCAGTAATAAGTTAGTTGTCAGTATATACAAAATACATTTTACATGTTATTAAATGTATGTATATACAATATACGAAGGGGGACCCAAAAATAACCGGAAACGACCTGTTGCGCGCGCATGCTTTGTAGTTATGAGTTATGCTGCTAGGTGGTGTTAGCTGGGGGTCTCCCGCGACTGTTAGTGAGCTGGCATCAGTCTGAGTTAAGTGGTTTGTCTGTGGTGCTCTGTTGTGTGCGTTCCTGTTTCAACCCTTTGGCGATTAGTGAGATGGCCGACCAGAAGGAACAAAGAGCGTGCGTGAAATTTTGCTTTCTGTTAGGGAAAACTGCACTTCACTCTTCAAGTCGCGGCAAACATTCACGCGGTTTTCTCTTTGGTCATCTCCGAGCAAGCGAGGAACAAATTTTGCAGACACCCGTCTCATGTGCAAACCTTCGGTTAAAATTTGCTGGACCGTGCTCCATAAGATGTTCGTTTCCTCAGAAAGTTGGTCAATGGTCTTTCAACGATCTTCATCAATTTCACGCACACTCTTTGTTCCTTCTGGTCGGTCATCTCACTAATCGCCAAAGGGTTGAAACAGGAATGCATACAACAGAACACCACAGACAAACCACTTAACTCAGACTGACGCCAGCTCACTAACAGTCGCAGGAGACCCCCAGCTAACACCACCTATCAGCACAACTCGTAACTACAAAGCATGCGCGCACAACAGGTCATTTCCGGTTATTTTTGGGTCCCCCCTTGTATACAGGGCCTCTGTCAGTCCAGGCTCAGTACAGCAGATCATGCCCTATCATTAGTAGCTCCTGCTACAATAGCAGTCTTGAATAGTCATATGAAAATATATGGGGGAGTGGAAGTATAGCTCCACCTGTCTTGACCTTGACAGTAGATGGAGGTGAGTGGTCAGCTTCATGCCTCTGCCACTTTGGGTAGGAGGCTAGGTGGGCCCCAGAGTCAGCCTGGACACTGTGGAACGGAGAAAAATTTTGCACTGCCGGGAATCGAATTTGGACCAGCCTGTCTGTGGCCTGTCTCTATACGGACTGAGCTATCCTGACTCCTTTTATATGTAGAGCAGAACCCCAAGAACTTGACATCCACTGCTCCATTGTGTTTTAGATCCTACAGCTGCTATACAGGGCTCTCCTCATGAAGTGATGTGAGCTAAACACTTGTATTGCGACTGAGGGTGGTCATTTTGAACAGTCACAGCAAATTCAGCAGTGAAAACCTTATGTAAATACTTGTCCACTTATTTTTATTTTCTTACTGTTCCAGTAATGAGAAATTAATAAAAAAAGTAAAGCTATCACTGTACCAGGCCGTGAAGGCCCATAGAGTTGTGTGACATTGAGGGTCCCACATTTCCTAGTCAGTCGGCTCAAAGATGGCGGTAAGGTTGTCAGCCTTACGCGCTGGCCGCGCTTTGCTCCCCAGGAAAATTATTTAATTAATTCCTGGTACTGATTTCTGTTAGAGGCTGAGTGAACCCCAGGGCGATAGTGCCGCTGGAAGGATTAGGTCAATTGAAAAAAATCCAATGACCTCATACGGACTTGAACCCGCGACCTTCGGGCTTCAACCAACTCATCAATTTATAATGGGACTTGTGTTTATATGACATTTGTGACTTGGAATGATTCCAGATACAAGTTATGACTGAAGTTGTGATCACTCTGTATAAAAATGCAGTCCCTATCTCAAGGAAAGGTCATTCCATCTGTGTTACAAGGACGGGCCAGTTGATGCTGTATAGGCAAATAAGCATCATAATGCACATGTATACATTATTTGGGCAAAATGTAGAGTTTTTAATGTAAACCAGTTTCAACTTCTGTGGTGAACCAGTAGAATGACTGCATTGCAAAAGCAGTTAAGGGTGTTGTAGAGCGGATTCAGTTATTCTCAAGCATCGGTTGAGAGATGTGTTGTGTTATGGTAATGGGAGAGGCAACCTTTTACTGTACTAACCACACTTAACAAAGAGCTTAGGGACAAATTATATTATCTACTTGTTGCCTGTAAAGAAGGAAGCCATAGGACTGTTGTGGTCAAAAGTCAAATGTCCATTATGTGGAAAATAAACCAATGGATTCAATTGTCCCAGAAAATTTTAAGCCAAAATACAACTTCTTCCATTCTGAATGAAAGCCACAGTGGGGGAATGGTCTGTTGTTGTAATGTGCGATTATCAAGGTGAAATTTTATTTGCTGGTGTTTGAACTACATTGAAAGATAAACTATGATAATCATGGAGATGTATTGATTGCGGCTTGTTTTGTGTTACTGTCCCAACATACATGTGGAGGGACTGAGGAAAACTACAAAAGTAGGCATGTGTGAGTCTCAGATTCTCAAGATTCCGTTGAGATAAAAGAACTCTCAGTCTCAATTCAAAGATTAATTTTCCATTCTCAGACTTTGAGAATTTTCTGACTGCTCTTTTTCTTTGTGTATCAGGCTCATGTCTTGTCTAAAGGATTGATACAATATTTGCCTGAAAGGAAGCTGAGTCTTTCCCCCTTAAAAGATATAGAGGGTACAGATCTACAGGCCGTCATGATTTTGAATGCTGTGTGTGTGTCTATATATATATATAAATAAATAAATATATATATATATATATATGAGGTAGAGTCAGTAAATAGGTCACAAATAGTAGTAAAACAGCTGTAATGGATGTAATAGGTTTTCTGTGTGTATCACTAGGTACCAGCACAGCCCAACTTCATGAGAGTATAGGTAGCAGACATGCATGTGCATGTTCAGAGGCTGGATTTAGTAGTCAAATGGGGACTGTGCTTGAGAGGTATACTACCGAAGATCAGAATTCTGTTGTGCGTTTTTTTTTTGTAGGAAAATGGATTCAGTGTAAAGGATATTCATAAAGAAATGTTTCCTGTTTATGGTGGAAAATGTTTGTTGAGTAAAACAGTTCAGCCTTGGTGGTAAACGTTTTGCTGCTGCTGATGATGAGGTTGAAATGGCGGTGCAGAAGTGGCAGAGACAACAATCAGAAGACTTTTGTGCTACAGGTTTCAACACACATGTAAAGCAATGGAAGAAGTGTATCAGTGTTGGTGGAGGATATGTCGAGAAGTAAATGTTTTTCCCAGGTTTGAATATCACATGTTTTACATTTTATATCCATTTGTGACCTATTTACTGACACTCCTGCATACATGTATACATAAAAGACGTTTTAATCTGTGTTAAGCCTTTAGTGTTCTCATGACACAGTCTGCACAACAAATCACTAGTCTTCAGTTTCATTTCTATGAGAGTAGCAAGCAAAAAACAGAGACAAATGTGTTTCAAGGCCAGATGCCATGAGCTGCCACAAGGTTGCCAGAAGTGCCATCAGAGTTATGAAACAGAAGTGGTAATTTCCTTGTTTATGACATCACCAGATTCTGCTGTAATGTGAGTGCCTCACAAACAGAAAAGCGGTGGATCATTTCAAGAAAAGAAGTGTCCATGGGAAAGGAAATAATGCGTCAGAAGGTATCAGGTGCCACAGTTATTATTTGTACTTAGAAGGTGCAGATTAAACAAACAACCGTGAAGTGCAAGATAACACGGTGCCTCCCGAGGCAGTCATCTGAAGGTGGAAATGACAAGTTGAGCCTCAACATGAAAATTATCATTTGTACAGGTTCAGAGACAATTGTGTGTCAGTTTTGTGCAACATCACCATTCAACAAGAGGAAGAAATTCTAAGTTCACCTCAGGTTGGTGTGTAAAAATAATGAGGAGGAATGGGTTTTGTTTAAAGTGACGCTTTGCAAAAAGTTACCATCACGCTTTGAGGCAATGTCCATGAAATTCCAGTGTATTTTGAAATGACATCCAGTTACACAATTAGTGATGCAGGAACAAACTTTGTTGTCATACAAATGTCAGGCAGTGGAAAAAATGATGCTGACTGTAATATGGATGGAGCAGGTAGATGGCACAAAACAACTACTTTATGTTGTATCAGACTGTGAAAGACCATGCCTGAGGCTTAGCTTCTTATGGGACTCATGATTGTGGGTCACACTGAGAGGTGATGAAGAAATGGGCTATGGACTGGTCACAATTTGTCTAGAAGAGAAGACCAAGGTTACTGTTGAGAAAACAAGGTATATTTGTGCTGGAAGTATTTGAACATCATTTAACACTGGATGCCAGACTCATGATTCATAAAATGGATACTGACCTTGTGATCATACCTGGAGGGATCACTTCATAATTACATGTTCTAATGAATAAGCTTTTCAAGAATAATTTGAACCAATTGTATTCAGAATTGCTCTTGTCAGGGCATCATGTTTTGACACTACTTGGTCAGTGAAGGGGCCCAGTGTAGAGTCACTGTGCCAACAGATCTCGAGAAGTGATGGTCAGAGTGCTGAAAAACTGCTGTATGTGTGAGGAAATGGATTGAAGGCAGGCTGAGGAAGAGGCTGGGAATGTTGGCAGGTACATGCGTGTGTGAGCAGTGAATGTGAGACATGAGTTGGGAATTGCAAAGAGACTGAAGCTGAGACAGACAAGAGAAATGGTGAACATAGTGACACTGGTGAAGCCAAGTAAAGGCTGACATCTTCAAGAAGGATGCTAACTCAGTAAGATTAATGTATAATTTGTTTTGTAATGTCTCACCCCACATACTGGTAGTGACATACGAAATTAATACATGCAATCATTTTTTTCTGCACAGACGTGCTGCCTAGTGCAGGGTCATCTTGCATTGAGAATCATTTCCATTCAGGTAAATATGACAGCACAGTTTAGTGCACTGTGAACAAGTGGTTAGTGTTATAAGTTATTAGAGTGAAGAAATGTGTCTACTAGAGGAAATCCTCATTCTTATCTCATGAACTGAACATCATTCCCACACATGCCTACACAAAAGAGTCGGATATATGCATTGATGTTTGAAATGCAGTCAATCTTGTTGCAGCTCAAGTACAAGCGGCGTGTGTACAAGATGCTGAACCGGGATGAGAAGCAGCTGAAGGCTCTGCATACACGTGCCAATCTGCGCCGCCTCCTTGACTATGTAGCCAATGGCCAGGTTGAGAAGATCACCAAGATGTGCTCAAAAGGGCTTGACCCAAATTTCCATTGTCATGAGACAGGTGGTGAGTAGTGTTGTGTTGTCTGCCAAATAGCTATAGAGTGCTGATATCTTTGCCCTCATGGGACAGTCTGTAAGCAGGTTGTGCTCTGTACCAAATATGGAATGCTGGATATTTCGCTGTCATGAGACAGCAGTGAGTAGTTCCATGCTGTCTAGCAATCAGATCTAAAACTTGGGAGCTTCCACTGTCATGAAATGGAGTGGGTAAGTTGTGCTTCCTACCAAACAAGTATAGAATTCTGGAGATACCCCTGTCACAAGACGGTGTTGAGCAACTAGTGGTGTCTGCCAAACAGATACAAAACTCTGGGGGCTCCAGTGTCAAAAGAGAGGTGGTGAATAGGTTGTGCTGTCTATTAAATGGGTGTGAATCTTGAAGGTTACACTGTCATGAGACAGGCAGGAGGGAGTGTTGTAATCAATACAAGGAAATAAACTAGGTATACCTATACGGTGATTTACATCTTACTCTAATATTGAAAATGTATTGGAAAAATGAGCTCTATCAAAATCCGTTCACCTTTTTCACTTTGAAGATGGTGACTGCAGTGGTTGTCACGACACTGGAATTAAACCACATGGCTGAAACCCAAAAGCTGAAATTACGCTTCTGTTCTTGTGTGCAGAAACTCCTCTCACACTTGCCACCAGCATCAAGAAGCCAAGCAAAGTGCTGATTGCATTGGTGAATGGAGGGGCCTTGCTGGACTACCGCACACGGGATGGTGCCACTGCCATGCATCGCTCAGTAGAGCGCAACAACTTGGAGGCTGTCACCACTCTGCTGGAGCTTGGGGCATCGCCAAATTACAAGGATGCCAAGGGTCTGACTCCTCTGTACTTGGCCGTGACATGTCGCACAGACCCTATGCTGTGTGAGGGATTGCTTCATGACAGAGCTGCAATTGGAGCACAGGATCTGCAGGGCTGGCAGGAAGTTCACCAGGTGACACAACCTTCATGCCTGTCCCCCTAATAAATTTGAAACAATATATGACTTTTCATTAAAGTTTATATAAATATGATGCCTTTGGCTTTTACTGCATAACACATACTTTGTAATATCTTACCACTGAAAATACTAATATGGCATCTCTGAAAAGTTTTGGGAAATGAGTAACTGTAGAGCCATTTAATGTAGGATCTGAAACATTAAAGATCATGGAACCTAACGTTAGGGTGGGCTTAATTTATAATATAAAAGTATATGGTGGCATATGAAAAACAGTGATGGTCACATCACTTATTTGGGTTTCCTATGTCTCTAAATCAGCTACTGAGGTTCTGTAGACACATAACCCAAAGAAGCAATTGCACTGGTGTTATGTTAGGTGAGAAGATGGTGAAAGGTGTAGTCTGTTCCATTCATTCCAGTTCCCACATTGTGCCTGTTAACCTGGACACTAATGTGTGAAGTTGACTCATCTGAAACTGCATTTCTGCACAAGCAGTGATTACTTCTGTTGATCCGGTCAAGGATCTCCACTCTTGTGACACTGGCAGTTATGGCTCCAAGGCAGCTTGTTTGTGTCAGGTTTATCGGTATGATGAGTTCATAGGATGCTGTGGATGGACTTGATGACATGATTCATGGATGTCAACTGTCACCTGATGCCCTTCTGTTTTTTGTGCTTAGCACATTTTCCATAGCCAGAAGTATGTTGTACCAGTACTGTATGGGGGCTTGGGTGAATCATTCCCATAAATACAACAATAATTACTTTTTGCCATTATTATGAACCCGATTTTAAGCGCATTGCATGGTGGAGTGCTGCTTTTTCTGTTTTTCAGTTCCAATTTTGCATTGAGGAACTAGTGAATATGAGTGGACAGAAATGTTTTCTTGTTATGTGCTGACTGAGACAGTAAGAGTAGTTCTGCATAGTGGAGTTGCCTGGTTAGTGCCGTTGTTCTGTATTTAGTTAGTGTGTGCTCCAGATTTGTCATCTGGCTTAAGACAGTGTCATTATCACTCTGTAATTTAGCTTTGCGAATTCATGTTTTTGATCCCAAGCACTGCACTTCACAAAAAGTGTAATGTGTTTATGCTTGTACAAGATTGAGGGAGGACTAACATATACATCCCCTCTGTATGTATACCAACACGTAGCGCTCTGTCCATGATGAAAGTTGAAGAACAGAAGTTTCCTGTGTAATTTCAAGGGGAATCTCTTCAGTGAAGCACCAGTCCTGTTTTTTGCCCTCCACCAGTGTTGTAACAACAAGTATTTATTCTTAAACATTATAGCAAAATCCAGTACAGTGCCTGGCAGTGGCATATAATAGCATAGTTGGCTGAGGCTCTGTGTTACAAACCGGAAGGTCACAGGCTCAATTCCACTTCAAGTCCTTGGATTTATTAATTGACCTAATCCTTCCAGTCACACTATGGCCCTGGAGTCGACTTACCCTCAAACAGAAATGAGTACCAGGAATCTTCTTGGGGCTAAAAGGTGACCAGTGCATAAAGATGACAACCTCACCGCCATGTATTAGCGAATTGTTCAGAAAGTTTGAGAGCCCTGATGTCTCACAACCCTATGGGCCTCCATGTGGCTAGTTACAGGGACAGTTTTACCTTTCTACAGTGCCACATGATTCTGTTTTCACTCGCAATATAACCAACTCTATAGAATATTTATTTGTGAAAATACACTAGTGACTTATGTCCTAACAAATAAAAGCTGCAGTGTTGTACAGTACTTGGGTGGATGGTACTTTGGGGAGGGAATGGAATGTGGTACTTGGACTCGGTGGTGTAAATGTCAACATGCCAAATCCAGACAGTTAAATGAACCCACTGCTAGCTGATTGAAAATTGAAATGGCACCAAAAATAAGTTGTGTACAGTAACAGGTAAAATTCCAAGAATTCCGGCAGAATAGCTGGTTATCCAACAATTTCTTGCTGTTTGCATAGCTAGTGAACATTTTTGGAATGAAAGCGTTTTCTGCATGCTTTCTTTGAGTAACAAACATACTATATGCAAACATACTTCATTTCCATAGTTCAGATACTCCTGCCTGGTATCAGAGCAGTGCTTATACAGCAATCACAGTCCAGTACATAAATGTGATTAAGGGGAAATGGGACTATGAAATGCTGGTAAAAATGAAGAGATGCGTGTCACTACAAAGAACTATACAATATTAGGGTTAATTGATTAAATATACAACAGGATGCAAGAAACAATTAAAGAACTATACAAGGTTCTGTTGGAAAGTTCCCGGACTGTTACTGTTGTATCTGCCTCGGTAAAAGAAGATGAGAACGGAGGCCATGGTCACACTTCTGCAAGCCTATTTCATCAGTCTACCACGTGACACTGCTGTGAACATGCACTGTTTTTACATGAGTGCTTTTTCGATTTTGTATGCAGACAACATGTCTGCATCAGGTTTTGCGTGAAGCTCGGTAAATTCGCTACCAACACACTTGAAATGCTTCATGAAGGTTTTGGAGAACATTCTTTATGCTGGACAGTGTTTTTTGAATGACATTCACATTTCAAGGCTGGTTGAGTGTCAGTTGAAGATGATGAACATTCAGGGCGACCGGGCACCATCAAAATGACAGAAAGTGTTGAAAAAATTCGAGAACTGATCTATGAAGATCATTACCAAACAACCCATGAGCTCACAGACACCGTTGGGATCAGTTATGGAGTTCGCGAGGAGATCTTAATAGAAAATTTGAACATGTGCCACATTGCCATGTAGTTTGTTCCCTGCCTCTTGACAGATGATCAGAAGCAGCATTGCTTAAACATGAGCCTTGAGCTATGAGAGAAGGTTAATCAACACCAAAGTTTTATCTCTAGGATCATAATGGGTGACGAAAGTTGGATTTACTTGTATGGTTATGATCCAGAAACAAAGCAACAGTTGTCGCAGTGAAAGAGCCCACAGTCACCAAGAACAAAAAGGTGCAGCAGGTCTGGAGTTCAGAGAGCATGCTCATTTTTTTCCTGACGTGAAGTGGATTGTTCACTGTGAGTTTGTTCCTCCTGACACTACCGTCAACTCTGGCTTTTACTGTGATGTTTTCAGATTCTTGAGAGATAGTATCCTGGTGTAAGATAGCAAAATATTGCTGTGTCTCCCTTCTGTTGTTAAATCCATCAGTTACATTTTGTTGGGGATGCACTCAGTGAAGGAATTAAATGGGAGAAGAAAAAGTGTAAAAGCATGAAATGGTTGAAGGATGCATTAGTTTTGTGGATTGTGTAAGTGAATGTAAGTGATGAAGTTATCAGGAAGCTTGATGGGAGTTGGGTGCATACACAGTGAGTGGTTGCATCATCTGTAATGAGGGCATGGAGTACTGAATGTGCTGAATATAGAGAAACAGGGGAGATGGGCATGAAAGTGGTCAAAGGATGCTGACATCAGCATTAGGGATGAGAATCCTTTGTTTTACTGAATGAAACTTGACAGGACCAGCTAAAATGGAACCATCCTTTCATTGTATACAGATGCAAATGGGAGCAAGGGGAAAACTATAACTATGGTGGGAAAGTCTGCCTACAGCAGCAGCAACAGCAGCATTGATGATGATTATGATGATGGTGGTGGCCATCCAACTAGTCTGTAAGCTAGTTATACATGAAGATAATAAGTTTTAAGGTTTTCACAGCAATGAAGTTTCATGTTGTGGTGTTCTGTGATATGACATCATGTACTCTGGTATGTGGGTACCATCATTTAGAGGAACATGCTACCTGCACTTCACATTACCCTGAAGATGGAAGTTCCATACCACATTACAGCATGGTGTCATAACCCAGATGACTGCAAAATAAAAGTCAGAGCAGCTGCATTTGTGCCACAAAGTTTCTGAGATGCGGCTTATGTACAGGCATGTCGGAATGGATTGGTTCAGCACCTCGAGCAGCTTCTGTTCTATGGAGCAGACATGAATGCACGAAACGCTTCAGGTAACACCCCATTGCACGTTTGTGCTGTGAACAGCCAGGAGAGTTGTGCACGTCTGCTTCTGTTTCGCGGCTGTGAACGTGATGCGCTCAATTATGCCAACCAGACGCCCTACCAGGTAGCGGTGATTGCTGGCAACATGGAGCTTGCTGAGGTCATACAGAGTCACCGCCCTGAGGATGTTGGTGAGTTGGCCTGTTAAGTTATATGCATGGAAAACACCTTGCTTCCTGGTGGGTGCTGCGCAGTCTCATGGGCATAGCAGTTTGATGTGCTTGCTGCCGAGACACAAATGGGCCCTTTGGGTCTCTCACTGTTTCTCCTGTCTCATTTGTTTGACCTTAACAAGTTTCATTGTTGCAATTGTGGTGGGATGTATGTCAATAGTTACTTTTTTGCTGTACCATAGTTAATCTTTTGAAGCATAAAGTTCAGCTAAACATGTTTAACAATTTAGTTTCTACCTCACAGAAAACATGATGCATCTTCATTTCAAAGATAAACCAGTTAATGCTGTTTATGGGAATAATCAGTGTTTATTATAAAAGTTATATAAAAATCAAATAGACTGTGTGGACAGAATGCGGTGTTTTTAATGTTGAAATTGGTGGTACGTATAGATACCACTAGATATTAAAGAGTTCAGAATAATTCATTAATTTGTGTGCATATTATATAAATTGATTTTCAGAAAATGTCATGGGTTGAACATGTAGTTCAGTTGTGATACAACAAATACATATAGATTTTTGGGGGGGAATCTTCCTTGAAAGTGGGCATTTCTAAAGAGAGTGATATATATTAGAAGGCAATATTAATGGGCTGTTTTTATTCACCCACAAGCTCACATAAGGAATGTGATGTCATCACATTCACTGCCATGCAGAGTTAAGTTGGATTTTCTCCTTCATGTTGTTTGCTTTAGATATCTACAAATGTTTTACTCATAATATGCCATATTACTTTGAATATAAGACACCCTTGAATTTAAGACACATCCAGTTTTGAATGTGGGTTTTAGGGAAAAAATTAGGAACATGGACATTCCTAAAATTTAAGGCACACCTCAATTTCTCAGCAGGAATAAATGTGTAAAATGTGCGTCCTATATTTGAGGTAATAACAGCAAATTAATTCTTTTCAAACATTTTGTGCTGCAGATATACTCATGGCCCCCAACGTTCCTTTATCCTAAATTAGCTTAAGGAACTTTACATGAAAAATTCAAGTCGCTAGGCTGCCCCATGTCTTGATTCTCATCCTGATTCTTCATACCTATATTTCCTGGCTACAGCACAGTCTCTCGTAGCAAGGCAGCCATCTTACAAGCTGAGATTGCCAGCTGTGACAGACAATGTTAACGTTTCTGTGGTAAAAACCAGAAGTTTGTGTCACTTTTCCTGAAAATTGATATCTCCTATGGTTCATTAATGGAGCTTATTCCTGTCTATGCCATACAACATGTTAAGAAATCCTGTATCTGTGCCCTGTGACATGTTAATGAGGTCTATCTGGCCATGCTCTGTGATGTGTTAAAGAAATCTGTCCATATTTGTGCCCTGGGACATGTCAGTGAAGTGTGTCTGTATCCATGCCCTGCAACACATTAGTGAACTCTGTATTTGTCTGTGCCTTGCAACATGTTAATGAGATCTGTCTGTATGTGTGCCTTGCAACATGTTGATAAAGTCTTTCTGTATTTGTGTCCTGTAACATGTTAATGAAGTCTGAATCATGTGACTGCACCTTGCAAATAGATCCTGAAGCACACTGATAGTAGCATTCATGTGAGTTTGGGGTTCTCATGGCAGTGAATGTTAGAACTGTGGTCTTTTGTAATATGATACCATGTAGTCTGGTAGGTGGTTACAATATTCTTGAAAAACAATTTCGTACCATTAGCAGCCATATACCAGATTGCATGTCATCACATCCCATAAGATTGCTGTCTTAAAATCTATTGGCATATTTTTAGTTACTCCCATTGTACTTTGTGTTCCCTTTGATGAAGATCTTTCAGAAAATACTTATAACAGAATCTGAAGGAGGGTGTAACAGTTGGGCACAGTATGTCAGTTGGTGATGGAATGCAGTGGTAAAGAGAGGTGTCATGTAATAATAAGCCTTGAAAGTTTCACAGTGACTGAAAATCGTAAAACCTCCTGAGATGACAAGTTGCGTCTGATTATAACAGAAGTCTTTTAACACTTTGGACTTGTATTGCATCTACATCTTGAAGGAATTGTGACATTGTTATCTGATGATGGAGAGAGAGAATATGTCTGATATGTTAAAATTATATGCCAAATTAATGAAGCTGGTCACCCAAGAAGATTTTATGATTCAGTCTTTGGGTTGTTCCTGGCCAACACTGTTTTTATCATTGCTTTATAAGGTCAGCACATATGTACCCTTAGATGGGTTAAATGGGTATTGCAAATCACATTTTCTATATCTGTGAGTAAAGTAGTTAATGAGACCTGGTAAAGTTGTGTTTGTGCTTGTGTGTTGGGTTGGTTTGGTGGTGATGGTTGTGTAGGTCCAAGTAACAGTTGTGACGCTTTCCTTGCTTTCTCACTAACCTAGAGTCTAGAAACTGAGGCAACAACAACAGATTTAACAGGTAGTCTTTATGCGTGATGTGCGTTGTTTGTAGTACACATGTGTTTATATACACAGCAGATCACATGTCACATTTCAGGAGTCTGTTCTATACAGTACATTATTTGAGGTCCTTTTAATTATAGGCTTGAGACTGAATTCAGGTTTCTGGTTTCTTTGTATGTCTTACCTCTTAAGAATCCTTGGTGGGATGGTAATTACTTCAACTGTAGCACATTGGTCTGACCTATTTTGATAAGATTGTATGAGTTTCTTAGTACTTCTAGTAGAATACTGGGATATTAGCTCCTAACCCATCCCTACCCATTATTTATTTTTGTTGTCTGTCTTAACAGTTCATCAGCTGTTGTACAATATCTCTGGTTGAAATGGTAGTAGTATAAAACGTGACTGTGAACGATTTGACTGAACCACTGCACCACAAAGGGCAGTTTCCTAATATACCCACTAGAGGCACTAGAGTAAAATTATTGCCATCTGATGGAGAAATGTGGCTGTTGGCTTGCAGCAGTGTTTCTCAACAAGTTCCCTGCTATAAGCATCAAATTTGATTTTAATATATTTTGATACCCATAGTTTGGCAGTTCTATTCCTGTTGTGATTATGGGGTGCTTCAAATTTCTTCATGACAGACAAGTTTGCTGCAACCCACCAATTTTGAAAATGCTCACACAGAAGTTAGGAGACCTAGGTGTAGATGTCTGTTCCACTGGAACCACAAGAGAATGTAGCACACTAGCAAGAATGTTTTTATTTTGATATCGGTGGCTGTTATGTTCTCCAGTCCCTGCACTTTCCTTGTAATGCTGTCCAGTCTTGTGAACTTAGTTGCCAGGGTTACCAACATGGCCATCAAGCTCTAATTTGCAAATTATGGGTGTCCCACATATGCTATTATAGATCTTCCCCCCAGGGTGACAGAAATTTCTGTCTTCTCACAGTTGTTCCTCATAATGCCAGTTATACCCCCTACCATGTACCAGGCTGAGCTCAAGTTGCAAAGCCACTGAGCCCTCATAACATAAGCTTTAGTACACTCAGTATAGCAGATGACATTCATTGTTAGTGTGTTAACATTTACTTCCTTCCTATCATGTGGTGACCCCCTCAGGTCAGGCATTTTCACATTATTAGAACAAGTTTGTGAGAAGTTTTATGAGTGGATACCCTGATACTTCATTACAACTGGTTGTAAGAGATGGGCAAGAGATAGCTGCAGCTCTGGACTTTTACTGTGTGTCGATATGATGCCTAGCAGATGAGTGGAAAATTTTAAAACATTTGCATGGCAAACATTTGCATGAGAGCCCTGTATCTTTTCTGCTATTGGCTACAAATTTAGATGATACATTAGAGAGGAAACTTTAAACAAACATCAACATTCATAGACTTGAAAGGATTCTGCTATACAGAACTATAAGGTTTATTTTGGACTCTATCCATTGTCTGGTATATATAAGACAAAAAACCACAATGTTTCGGAGACTGGATCTGTCTCCGTCCTCAGGTGGATGGGGCAAGATAGACCTACTCATTTGGGCCTGTTAGAAGGAACTAGTCTCAGGTCTAGTGATTGAGACTAGCTCTTTCTAACGGGCCCAACTGAGTAGGTCTGTCTTGCCCCATCAACCTGAGGACGGAGACACATCCGGTCTCCGAAACGTGGTTTTTTGTCTTATATATACGAGACGATGGATAGAGTCCAAAATAAACCTTATAGTTCTGTATCAGCATTCATGTTTCAATGGTAAATAATTCCTTAAAATGTTTCATATATCTCTACAAGACAGAAATAAGTTTGATGCAGTGTTTTGTACATATGAGTTCACTGTGTGATGGTCATCACTTTGAAAATGACATGTTGTAAGAATGAACTATTTGTATGAAAATAAACAGTAGTAATTGAACAGTATTGTTAGTGGTTAAGACTGCAGCCTGAATACTTTTATCAACACAGAATATTCTGAGATATATCTAAACTCTAGCTCAAAGCCCATTGAAATGCCAGCAGGAAACTGTTTCAAGTCATGTTGTAGGTATAACTATTTCACTGTGATCCACTCTCACATATTATAATCCTTGAGGGACACTTGGAAATCGCCAATTCACTGAAGATGTATGCCACGTACTTGAAACGTTCCGGAAGACAGCTACATTCATACTGAGGCAGTAAACGTGGTAGAGTAACAGTATGCCCTAAGGGGTGCTACTATCTCTGATTTTTTCATGTACTTCCCCCCTCACCCCCAGCAAAGGTGGACACTGCAATACCAATTCAGTTGTACCTTTCACTGCCAGTTTTTGATGCCATCTTGTACTCTTGTTTGTAACTGCTACCAACTGTAATAAATGCTGACACACATATTGACTGAATAGTAAGTGTTGGGACATTGTATTTAGGTGTTCATAAAAATAGGTAGCCCATCTTGTAATTTTTCGGGGGGTTCTTCGAATGCTTTCAGTATCATTATTATATAGCGTCAAGTGATAGAATGAATGATGAATTGGATAGAGTTAGGAAAGAAGCAGTCATGGCCTAATTGAGGTACTACCCCCTGGAATTTTTGTGGAGGGATTGAGGAAGACCACAGAAATCTCAGTCAGGATAGGCAATGTCCCACGTGAGCACCTCCCAAGAATTAGCCTAGAGTTTTACCTCTAGGCTATCATATTTGGACACATCTCGTGAAGTTCTTACAGTTTATCTTACATGGACTGCTGTGAAATTGAACCTTAGCCTCTGTGGCACAGTTCTGAGATCAAATGTCTTTCTGATGCTAGCTCCCTCCCCCCCTAATCTTACTTGGAAAGTGAGTTTGCTTATGTGTAACAGTTACTGTTCAGCTTTCGTGACATGTGAGTGGTAGCTCTCTGTTAATAATAATAATAAATGAGTAAGTAATGAGAGTGGCAGAGCTCTTGTGGCTCTGTACACAAACTGATTCAGATGGCAGTGAAAGATTGTCTGGGTCTGGGTGCATGGAGTTTTGATTGCCACGAGTTTCCGTTGCCTGCATGTGATGTAAAACTACAACAGCTGAAAAGTATAGAAAGTATGACCTTTCACTCACTAGAATTTCTTCCAGAAAAATCGGATGTTACAATAATATGTGATATCTAATATTTGTATACTTTATTGTTTATGCATACATCTTTATGGGTTGTAATTATTTCATCAGGTAATATTTAGAAATGTCTGGCTGACCATGGGACACTAACATACACATCTCACCTTTCCCTGGTAACTATGAAATGCAGTGCAGTTCAACCAGTACACATTGTGTGGCCACTATTATTCCTCCTACAGGAATGTGTGAAAATCAGCAAAGCCACAAGTGACTGTTTTGAGATTACGGTCTTGTGAGTTGTGTTGCGGTGTGTGTTGGTAGATAGGTACCCACATTATCAAGGAACCTCCCATCTCCAACTTCAGTCCACCCCTCAATCCTGAAGATGGGAGTAGAATGTTCCTCGAAAATGATAACATTTCTATCAGATGATGTGCTGTCACTTCAAAGAAGACAGTAATCTTAATGCTTACTGCCGTGAGAACCTCAGATCTCACGAAGACACTTGGGTTTACATGTATGTGCAGGACTCCATATAAACATTAATTTGTCTTCATATCTTGCCAGAACTGGACATTGTCTTACAACTCTCATTCCTGGATCCACTGCCAGCAACAGGAGCCTGCCTTTTTTGTACCCCCAACAGCTGTGAAGCTTCCCATGCATGTCCACTCTTTGAAGTAGAAAATAGTGAATTTGTTGAGTGGGGTACTGATGAGGCCGGGCCCACTTGTGTTTGCAGTCCCGTTTCGAGAGCCCCCCAGATACAACCCTCGCCGTCGGACTGCAGGGGGTGGGGGGGCACCTCATCACCACCACCATCCTCACCACTTTGGCCATCATCCAAACCTTCCACTCCGAAATTGTGTGCCATCAGATCCCATCAATTTGGAGATGCCTCCTTCCCCATCCCCATCGAACCGATCGCTGCCGCCCTTCAGCTCAGCCTCATCGAGTCTAAGTGAGACTAGCAGTGGGTCAACTCAACGCAGCGTCGAGGACAGTGCAAGCTACGTGACAGGTAGGGGCCATGACACAACCATCACCACCGTGGGGACATATATTATTGAGCTGAATCGTTTGAGAGGTCTAAATTATTTTATCTTGCTTTGGACAAGAGAACCAGCAGAGCCTGAGCTATACTGAGTAGCGATGTTACATTATCATCCCATAGCTCAGTTAACAGGAGATGGAAGGATGGTTTAACCTCTGTGTTATTTTTTTTTCAACATGGGGCATGCATGCTGTTTGCCTGGGTATGTACTGTGGAGTTGTAAAGCATTTATTTTAATGCCTACTCTAGGCACAATGTGCCTTCTATCATATGCTGTTCCATCCAGTGAGAGTTATTCTTTGCATTGCAGTCTTCATATTTTCTGATCTCTTTGCAACTAGTGAATAGGAGGAGACAGACAGTCAGGCTGCTATGATGATAATCTGCAGGATTACAGTATTGGAAGGGTTAATGAGTTCAGACATAATGTCCATTTAGATTCTATAGTTTTTACTTGAGGAATGATGAGGCACGTCCTCTTGAGGCTCTCTGGGGCACATGTGACCGTAGGTGAGGGGGGACATGTGGACTACAAGGGTGGCTTTTCGCTGCCTGCAGACAAGAGTCTCGGGGACACTAGTGACATCATCAGTGACAGCTCTGGTGTCGGGACATCCAACAGTGACACTACAACGCAAGGATCTGTCTCGATGCCCAGCATGACTGTCGTCTGTCTTGAGAACTACAGCTCTGGGCTGCCTGGGCACCTCCGCATAGCCCAAGGTGATATTGTTGAAGGTAAGCAGTCAGCTCTTTTATGTTGCAATGGTAGCATGTTTCTGATTTATATAACAATGTAACTTTCCTATCGGTTTCATATTTCCAACTGTGGACATTACAAAGAACATACAAAGATATTATGAAATTTAATTTTCATTGTTGCCAGTACATACAGTAGCCATAGCTGTTAAAGTTATATGCAAATATTGTAATAGAGTTTTTGGGTGTGATCTGAATCCTCATGCCAATTTCTTTTTAATTACATAAGTGAATTTGAAGGTTCTTCTTAAGGTACTACATATTCTATCATGTATATTTAGTTTATTATATAACGCAAAGAAAGAAACAAAAACTATCGTGTTACCCCAATCTTCTGATGGCAGCTGACATCTGACCAACCTTTGGCTTTATGATTACAACCTCTGAAGAAGTTGGTAACTAGAAAATCAGTCACCGTTGTGCCTTCTGCATAAGGATGGCGTAAGCCGCAGGTCCCTCTTAATGCATGGCAACTGGGAGGTATTCATTTCCCCTATGGCTCTCTGTAAAGGGTCATGCAATGCCGATGGTGATGCTTTTGAATGGCACACCAACGTTATACTGGAGCATCAGTCCCTGCTCCAGTTCTGGTGTCCTCAACTTTTTGTAGAGTTTCGCCCGCATAATACAGCTGCTCCTTGCTCCGGAACGTTGTCCCAGCTGTCCACGTCAGCAGCAGCAATAAGCTCGTACCTTCAGGCTGCCTGACTGTCCTTCAACTTGCTGGCATTGAACGCATTTCTCTCGGGTACTGCCATCTGGAGAGTGCATGTGCATTACTGCGTCTGGCCTTCTGGATATTTGGATGTAAAATTGTTCTTTTGAAGACAGACCCAATGGACCTTCCAGGTTTGTGAAACTGTGGAGCCAACGTAGGGCCGAATAATGAGTTTTCAGGTGGAATTCCTGTCCATAGAATTATTTGTGGAAGGTCCTAATGTCTTCACAGTAGTAACTCCCATTGTACAGCACAGTAGTTCCTCACACCCTTGGATAGAGCATACTATAGTGAGCTATTACACACTCTTGGCCCTCCACTTTTGACATCACATGTCACATCCCGATATTGCTTGCGTCTTTGCGAACATCACATTCGCCCGGCTGCAGCTATCTCAGGATGGGTGCAGTACTCTACTCATTTAGGAACTGGTTGGTGGCTTATGCTTTTGAACACCGCTGGAAAGGCCACTTGGCGTTCTTTGAGTTTGGTCAACGGCTTATGACGTCAGTGGAGCCGGTTATGAGCCTCATGTATGTCTGTAGTACAAGGAAGCTATTAAACTCAAGATTTTCTCTCTGCCATTACCACTCCCGTAGAGACTTCAGCTCTTCTGGGTCCATAGTGACTCTTTCCAGCTATGTGATGTGCCTCAGGTACATGGCTTCCTTCTGTAACTTTTGGCACATTTTGGAGTTCCCTTTCAGATGGGCTCCTTGGAACAACTGTATCCATTCTGCAGGTTATCACGCTGCTCCTGGAATGTCCTGCCGACAAAAATCCTTTCATCCGTGTACTCCAGGTACGCTTCATAAGAAAGGCCTCCTAGAATGGATTTCATCATCAGCTCGAATGTTACTGGTGTGTCGCAGAGGCTGAAATGCACATAGTTCACACAGAGCTAAAGGTCTCCTTGTTCTTGACGAGTATGATGGGTGAAGACCAAAGACTGTGTAACTCCTCTATAATCCTTGTCCATTGGAAATTGATGAGGGGGCCCTGATGGATTTGATGGCCGTCGCTGGTGTCGATGTGGTGGGAAACTCCAGCGGTTCACCCATATCCGGCACTCTTTATTGCGAAAGTGTCCTACAATTCTGCGATTAAATTCTCCAACTCTCAGACTTCCGTGTTACTGAGGTTGGTGTTGCACCGCTGTTTACATAGCCGTCGAGTCCCTAGAGTTAAAAATTTCAAACCATCGACTGGCCCTGTCCACATGATTGGTTCAGAATGGCCCAGAGTGGTTCCTTCAGCCAACGTTTGATCTTGTTGCTCACATTTAGGGTTCTGACAGGTACCTCTCATCGATTGTGAACCAGCATCCTGTCTATATCAGTGATAAACCTTGAAACTCGGTTGTACTAGGCTGTTTGCTGCATCCAAGGAACCTTCTAGCCGGTTAGTGACCAGTCTTTCACTTCTCGAACTCCTGATATGTGTGTTTGTAGTTTGTATCAAGTCCCTGAACCTTACTACGGATCTCCTCGCAAAGCTTTCAGGCCTACTGGTTAATCACTGTCATGATGCCCTTCAGCTATTTGTCTAGCATGTTTATTATTCTTATTTCTAACTCACCCTAGCCATCATTAATGGCACTTATTTCGCTCTTTAGGTCTTCCTGGTGAGTTGCAAGTTCTTCTTGACAGGCCGCCAATCGGCATTGCTGGCAGCCAGTTTATCTTGGCAGGTGTATATAGAGTTCATCCTCTTAGGCTGGCAATTTGTCTTGGCAGGTGCTTGTCACCTTTTTTAATTCTTCTTTGCTTGCACTTATGCCCTTTTTAGTCTGCTTTCTTAATTTTTAAAAATTAAAAGGAGCGTTATGAGAACACCATTCTGTCCATATGTCTTACCCCATAATGGCCCACTGGGCTTGTACCTGAGAATGGCTGCAGTGTTTAGGGCCATCGTCAATTGTAAATGACAGACCTGTCCTAACTCAGAGAGGGAGCCCAACATCAACAACCCACAGCTGTCTGACTAATAAAAATCTGGTCTTGGGTCCCAGATGGGTGCTTGACACCAAGACAGCCAGGATGACTGACCATCAGCTGTAACATAAAAAAAAAATAAAAGTAGGCAGTTAGTTCTTCCCAGAACTCCTGGCCATGTTATTTTAACAGCCCCAAAACCGCCTACAATGCTAGATTCATCTTTCATCTGATTTTTGACACCAGGGGTAACATTTGATTTGTTTTGGAACAATAATTTTCTCACTGTCAGAATCCACTTATGTTCATGATGTCAGTTTGTCTAGTCCACCACTGTTTCACTCTGATTCCACTGTTCTATCCTCTTCTTGCTTCTTACACTGAACTAATTCTTTATTCACAACAGGCACTTTTTGACATATGGTTCTCCACATGCATCCACACTAACCATCGACAATGTGCCGTAGCTCAAGCGGTTAGTCGCTGGTTTCCCACCGTGGCAGCCCGGGTTTGATCCCGGGTGTGGTCAAGTGGGATTTGTGGTGGACAAGGTGGTGCTGGGGCAGGTTTTCTCCGAGTCCTTCGGTTTCCCCTGCCAATCTTCATTCCACCAGTTGCTCCACAATCACCCTCACCTATCATCTGGGGCTGGTACAACAGGCCAGAAGTGGCTGCAGCACAAGGGACTTAGTCCCACCCCACTAGCATTAGAAAAAAACATCAACATTCAACTAAGATTCTCAGGAATGTCACAACCACCCATTCTATATGCAAAGCCAACCTAGACACTTCGTATGAGTTTAGTCATCTTCAATCATCAGAATGTGTTGGACAGCTCTTGAAGAATCTAGAAGCTCGGGGGTGAGTGGCCATGTGGTGAGGAACAGATTCGCAACCCCCCCCCNATTCTATCCACTTGACAATATTTCCATCATTAATGGACTTTTAGTCAACTTATCTGTGCTGATTACCGTGACTGTTGACGACATAAGAAAATCCAGTGAGAACATAGAAACCAGATTGTTCCAGAACTGCTTGAAATCATCATGCATAGAGGTTTTAATGGCATGATTAATTTGTTTGGACCTCAGTAGTGACATTTACCCTGTAGCATATAAAATAGTTGCATGGTCATGTAAGCAGAGTGTAATGCGGAATGTTAAGGTGAGTTTATGCTACTTACAAATGTTGTGTGTTCCTAGTAACTGGCACAACAGACTGTGGGCTGCTGGAAGGTGTGCTGCATGGGCAGGGCACAGGCTTGCTGCCCCCACATTGTGTGCAAGAGGTTCGATTACAGCAGGGGGTTGTTCCACCCCCTGTACTTCCTCAACCTCCACCACAACAACCACCCTCTATAATGATGGGCTCACTAACCACAAGCAGAGTGCAGGGACGCAGAGAGTCTATGCATAAACACTTTGCTACTGCTCCTCGCCTTAAGAAACAGTGAGTTATACACAATTCTAGTACAAGTACCAGAGCCGCAGCATATACATTTCATGTTTATTTTTTAAAGGTACATTGTTTAGTTTCTATGTTTCCATTGTTAGATAGCCACAAAAAGTTAGTCCTAGGGCAGGGTGTCTACAGATGAAAGATGAAGGTATGTATTTCCTTTTTTACTGACATGAATATTAAATAATGTACTGGCAGCAGCAGAGAATTGTATCTTGAAATAAGGTAGCTCTTTTCAGCATCATAAGGTTGATCATCAAGTACACCATTGCAGTACAGTTGTTGAATTTCAGAATGTTTCCTTATTTAAATAACAAGAATTTCTGCTTCTTCTGAGTATGAAAGAACAGTCAGATGTGCCAGTATAAAAATTGGTTTGTCATGTCAGACAGTGGTACCATGAAAATTATTTTGACCTGTTGGATACAGGTACCATAAAAATTATTTTGGCTTGTCTAACAGTGGTGCTGTGAAACTGTTTTGTCCTGTCAAACACTGGTACCATCAAAAGGGTTCTGTCATGTCAAAGCTGGTACAATCAAAATTGATCTTTTCCATCAAATTGTACTTTTTTACTCTCTCATGTATATAGAATAGAAATGTGTATATAAGAAATTATTGTGATGATGAAGAAAATTTATATCAGAGTTTTGATAGATTTGCATATTTTCATTACCCTTGAACAGAGAAATTGGTGTTTGGAATGCCATGTCTCTGTCTATATATATGTATGTATATATGTGTGTGTGTGTGTGTGTGCGTGCGTGCTCACCTTGCTAATGCTTAAGTTGTTGGGTGGATTTTCTTGAAATTCAGTGTGTAAGATTTTATCCAGCATAGGATGATTCCTGGTGAATGTGAACATTCCAGCCCTGAAAATAGGGTTACTTCAGATGTACCTGAAAACACAAAATTGAGATTTTTTGAAAAGCAACAGAAACTATTTTGATTATAATTAAATGATTTATGATGATCATCTCCCTGAATAAATCTGCATAGGTGGTTCCTTCATGAAAGTACTGGTATGCATAATAAGGGCCAAATTTTTTCAAGGATGGCCTTACTCATTGATTAAATTTTAATGATCCGTAGAGACAGTGGATCCAAATAATGAACCTGTGATTTTTATACCTAATTTAAAAGTTATACATAAGTTTTCTGAGATATTTATTTTAGGGTGGTGGAAGGCTGTGATCCATGCCATTGTTACTTACTGCATATCTACTCTATGCTTGTGTAATCAGTAAACAGCAGTGGTGTACCAAACAGTTGATTTCATTACCATGACAATACAATCAAGATCAATCATGAAGAAAGCAGTCTTCTGGGATTTGGCACCATGTATATGTCGTGTTAACCGACGTTTCAGAGGAATGTATCGCCTCCATCTTCAGGGTTTCACCGGTTCTCACGGTCTCTTCGATTGCGGATTTCTTATATTTTTCCTTCTACCCTGAAGATGGAGGCGATACGTTCCTCCGAAACGTCGGTTAACACCACATATACACGGTGCCAAATCCCAGAATACTGCTTTCTTCATAGTCACCGCCATGAAAGCCTCAAATCTTACAAGATCAGTCATGTATGAGAAAGTATATTGTCATGTGTAAGGGTGTGTGCATGACTTACTAGATAGGTTTTGGACTGGATGACAGGATTTATTGACACCTTATACATTCAACTCGTAACTACAGGTAGTAAAGTGCCATCACTGATCTACACACTTTACAGTTCACTGATACATGCACACAAGGGTTCACAGTCTTTGCTAGTCATCCTGGCAACAGATTTCAGCACAGTGGTTATACCAGCCTTATTGTAAATACAGCACACATGAAGTCTTCTTTGCACAGTTTAATTCCTTTCTTGCCATTTTTCCTCAGTCACCTTGAACTGCCAACTGTCTCAATTCTAATTCTAGCTGTGCGAGATCCTCATTCTATAGCCTCAGGTTGGACCCACAGAAAGCATCGTTTCCTCTGTTGTTGCATGTTGAGTCACTGCTGCAGAGATGTGTTTACTGCACAGTTGTGTGACAAGAGGCATGGACCCATAGAGGATGCTGCTTGCAGCGCCACTTCTACTGTTGCGTGACATCACCACACATGTGTATGCTGCAGGCACTACCTGGCAGCAGCCACTGTTTACAGAATCACCACTTAACAATGGATCTATATATCACAATGTACAGTGTGTTTGTTTTCATATGTTTTAAATTTGTTGGCACTTAACAGAGAGAAGATTAACTTGTCACAGATTACCGGCTGAGCCACGTACAGTAGTCTTGCATCGTGCTCGCAAAGGCTTCGGGTTTATCTTGCGGGGGGCCAAGGCCATGTCCCCACTGATGGAGTTGCAGCCCTCAGAGCGCTGCCCTGCCCTGCAGTACCTGGACGATGTTGATCAGGGGGGAGTGGCTGACATGGCTGGACTCCGAAAAGGGGATTACCTACTGGCCGTAAGTTTAATAGTTGAGAAAGCTGGCAGGTAGCAAGCTTTTCACATGTCCCCATTTCGTGAATGGTTCTTGATGAGAATTGTTACAGTTTGTCTGGTGACTGAGGTTGTGTCAAAGTTACCCTTCTTTTTCTTTTCCTTGTGGTGTGGTGAAGTTGAGCCCACTCAGTACATTAGCCACTATTTGGCCCATTGTACCAGCCATGGATAATGGATGATGATGAGTGTGGAGCAGTCAGTGAAATAGAACTGGCAGGTGAAACCCGAGTACTCGGAGAAAACTTGCCTCAGTGCCACTTTGTCCACCACAAATCCCACGTGAGCTGACCAGGACTCAAACCTGAGCCGCTGCAGTGGAAGCCGGCTACTAACCACCTGAGCTATGGCACTACCCTATATGGAAGTAAAGCTCACCCTCTCAATTTTGGCAATAGGTCAGACTGAGTGGTCTGCTTTATGCTCCAGCTTCATTCATCTCCTTAACAGTAGAACATGATGGGCTCATGGTACCGTTATGGTGATGAGACACATGATAATGTCTCTGCCACAAGGCTGTGCCTTCATGATTTTAGACACCCGAAAGCTGTGGTAGTCATAACATGTATGAAAGCCAGTGTCTGTTCATTCCCTCCCACCAAAACAGTGAATCTGAAGTGCTCACATTTGCTGTATAGAAAATTTATTGTAATGTCACAACAAATGGAATAAGATGCACAAAAATTGACTAGCTAAATTTTATTCACTGTGGTTTGTGCTTTTCAGTAAGGTGTAAAGAAGAAACATATAATTTGATAACTGATTACTGTACAGAATGCCAAGAAATATGCCCATAATTTTGTATTTGTCTTGCTAAGCAGAAAGGAATGTGGTGAAGGGTGAAAAAACTTATTTTGGAATTTCCAGAATCTTCCACAAGGTGCACAGAAGTATGTGCAAGAGAATTCTAAAATTATAAGTCATCATGGAATATTTAAATGAGCACAAACAGCATTTATGTTCATTATTAAATAAATTGTAAGGTATGATTTTATTATTCAATGCAAAACCTTATCTCATGTACTTTCTATGGCACTGTGAAGGTTAACCTTTGTTGGAATATGGGGTCTGAATGCACTGTGTTCTCTAATATTGCTTGGACTTCTGCAGAATTTTCAGAAAATGTATCCACAATTCTGTAAGAGTCTGTGTGCCTGAATTCTGTGCAGATAAATGGTGAAGACGTGTCTGCAGCATCACATGAGCATGTTGTGGACTTGATCCGATGCTCTGGGGATCTTGTATCCATGACAGTGGTGTCAGTCGGGGCCAGTGCCCCTGGGGGAGTACCCTGTTCCAAATCGTCCACTCTTTTACCAGGAAGTGTTGGGACAAATCATCACAGGCAGTATGCCACGCTGCCTCGTAAGATGAATGCTTCTAGCACTGGCACCATTGGTAAGTTTCATCTGTCTGAAAAACTTGCTGCACATGAATTTCCAGTACATCTAGAGATGCTGTACATGTTGTTCAGAGTATTGTACAAGAGTCCCTCAGGAGGCGGTTTTGTCAGCCAATTTGTGGTTTTCTATTTGTATCCAGTTTTGACAGTGAGTCTGGTTTTCCATTCAGTATTGTTAGTTAGTCCATGATTTTTCATTTCTATTCAGTTTTGCCAACTCAGTATTTTTCATTATTTTGTTTTGTCAGAAAACCTACAGTTTCCATTTGAGTTTGGATCCAGAGGTCCAGGTTCGATTCCCGGCGCTACCAGATTTTCTGAGTAGTAGTGGGTCTGGAAAGGGGTCCACTCAGCCTCTTGAGGATAATTGAAGGAAATAGTGGAAATATTCCAGTGTCTTCACAGTAGCCAGTAACTCTTGTAATATAATGTAGCAGTTCCTCTCAGCCTTGGATAGGATCCAGATCTAGGAAGTTACTACACACTCCTAGCTTGCCTGCAGTGGTGACAGCACACCTGTAATTCCCTCAGTGATGGACTTCTCACATGACTGCAGGTATTCTAGGATGGCTGCAATACATGGCTCCTTCAAGGATCTGAAGATGGCTTTTGCTTCTGGAGACTACTGGATGAATTTTGATTTCCTTCATAAGTTGGTTCAGCAGCTTTTCAATGTCCACAAATCCTGCTTTGACCTCCAGCAATAGGTACACAGAACAATGAAGCTCCTCAGCATATGTTTGTCTTTTGCTGGTGGCAACTTCCATATAGCCTTCAGCTTTTGTGAGTCATTGGTCACTCTTGCCAATTATGAAATGTGTTCCCAGTACCGTACCTCCATCTGGAGCATATGGTTCTTCTCATCAGCTGACAATGATCACATCATCCAGCTACACCCAAAAGGCCTGCAGGACAGGTTCCATGAGGTGCTTGAATGTTGCCAGAGTACTGCCGAGGCAAAAGGGCATATCTGTGAACTTCCACAGTTCCTGTCTAGTAGAGTATGCTCTCTTCTTTTTGTCACTGGGTTGCAGGGCAACCTTCCGATAACCTTTCTTCAAATCCAGGATCAAGAACATCTTGCCCCAATGAGCATATCCAGGGTGTCAGCCATTCTCACTAGCTGAAAGCAGTCCTGTGTAACATCATTCAGCTGTCAGTAGTCCACACAGAATCAAAGGTCTGCATTCTTCTTCCTGATGAACACGATTGATGAAGACCAAGGACTGTTTGATTTCTTAGTTATCCTTTTTATTTCTTCCAGTATTGCATCCACCTCAGCCCACTTGGCAAATGGGAATCTGTTAAGGGCTGATGGATTATACAAGTGTTTCCAGTATCACTGAGGCGGAAACATCTGTCATTTCTTCCAGATGTAGCTGTCTTTGATACAGAAGTATCCTAGATTTCTGTGGTTAACTTGTCCCCAGTCCTGGGCTTCTCCACCGTTGAAGCCTGGCCTGACACCAGATGCCACCTCTTTGCACTTGGTCACAGAGCTGAGTCTCCCAAGTTTGAGGTGGAATGTGGGCGAGCACCATCATACACATACAGATCAGTGTAACTTTTGTAGCCAGACTGTTGTAAGGATTACTAACTATAGTAACTCCATGCAATGCTTTCTGATGATTTTTCGTCATTATCTTCATCATCTGACTGTAATACAGTAAGTCTTCTGTAGTCATGCTTCCAGAGTGATAGATTTATTGAAACACCAGAGTGTCACAGTACTGCCATCCTAAAAGGAACATTGGCTTAAATGTGAAGGTTAGGATGGATGCCTTCCTGCAGAATAATTATCATTTCATTTTTTAGAAATATAAATGAAATAAGTTACAAGAACTAATGCACCTTAACAAATTGGTCTTTCTTATTTATTGCTGTTGTGCTGAGTTTCACTTTCAGTGAGATTGTAGCAGGATATTTTGAATTATCTGATAACCCTCTTCTGTTTTGTCTCTGCCTACTTTCGTAAACAAGCTACTGGGGCATAGAATCTTTGTTCTCAAATACAGTATGCACCAAAATACGCAGTACTGAAACTCACACATCTTGAACGCACATGTGCATTTGTCGACAGGGTATAGCTCCAGCCACATGTGTTCCAAGTAATGAAAAGGAAGTTGTGTTGTGCAGTTGTTGTTGGAAATGGGTCTCTCGTCAGAGGAAAAAGTATTCATAGTTGAGTATTATTTCCACTCATACAGAAGTGGTCACCAGACATCTATCTACCTAGATTTTGAGCGGCCAGAACTGTCATCAGGATCACAAGTGGCTACCGACAGGAACTCAGTAACTGTTCCAGCAACAATGAATGTTACAGTATTGTTGCATGTATGAGTGTGTTTTGGCAGGGTTTTGGATAATTCGATTTATTGACCACTTATGTATAGTAACTGTAAGTATTTATAACAGTCTCATTGAGTTACACACTCCAAATTTCACTAACTACAGCGCACATTAAGTCTTCTCAGTCTTCACCAGTCATTTCCCGGTAACGGATTTTAATGCTGTCCACTTACATCCTTCCCATCTGGCACATATCCCACAATTGAAATCAGTCTTCACTTTATCCCTCTTACAACTCCTTGGCAAGGACTACCATAGGAGACACCATTTCCAACATTTCCTCTGTGGTCGCATATTGATTCGTTGCTATGGAGATGTGTTTGTAACCGTTATCCAGTAATGACCCACACACTACAATGTGCCAGTATGTTTGGTAGCCACAGCTGTTAAAGCAATGTGCAAGGATGCAGTAGTTTTTTGATGTGATCGAAATCTAATTTTCAGTATGTTTTAATAACACAAGTAAAATTTAATTTCTTAATTTGAGTGTCATTCCTACTTTAAAGTTTTAGCTGTGGTGTACTGTGATACTGGCAAGGAAAGCAGCCATATCCTGGGTGAAGAATGGGTATTTCTGCTTCTGTGCTGCCACCTCAGGTGGAAAGAGATATGCAGAGTATTTCACAAAATTTGGTGAATTGGTTCAGAAGCTGTTGTGCTATATGCACATACACAGATATAGCGTTGCTACATAACTTGCTTTCTATATAAAATAAATGCTTTTCTGCTTTATGTGAAATCATTGTCATGTTCTTGCTGAATATGGAAGTGGGAACTTTTGATGGCAGTGCATTAATATTATGTCATTACTTCAAGGTCGCTCTCCTGCACCACTGCCCCCAAGACGAGACCCCAAGACAACCCTGAGTGTTGGGCGAGCAAGGGCGAGGTCCATGGTAACTGGTCTAGGTAAGCTGCATCCCTGTGGCTGTTCAGTGGATCTGACTCATCCATTGAGGACATTTCTGGGATGTGTATTAAAAGTGAAGTGTTTGATTTAAGTTCTCTATGAAGAATACTATCTGCTGTCTGCTTCCTGCTGAGTATTTTGGCTGGCATACTCTTAAATCCTAAAGATGGAGGCAGTACATTACTCTGAAATGTCACCAAACTTCTACATGGCTACACAGCATCACATTGCAGGCCATAAAATTGAAATGTTCTAGAAATTGATACAAAGGAAGATGTTTTACACCTAGGGAAATAGTCCTTGGTACTCATTGTAGAGGATGCTGGGTGGGTCCCAGGGGTGATCTGGATGCTATGATGAAGAGTGAAGCTTTTGTTCCATCTTTCTTATTCACTCAGTCACTACTTAGTTCTGAAAAGAAAGAGAGGAAACCCCTTATCATCTCTGATTCAGTTGTGAGCATCATACTCCCAAGATGAGCAGGGTGTCTAAGCAGAAGCTACAGAGAATGAATGTGTATGTCTGCCTACTCACAGATGCCAGATTACTGTCAGGTGTTAGTGATTAGACCCAGGGTATGACATATATATTGACTTTATTGAATGCTTATCTCATATAACTACAAATAGTTACAGTACTCTTCGTTTGTGTGCACACTGCACATAACTAAACGTGCTTCACGTCTTCTGTGTCATCATGTACTTGCTGCTGGGTAGTGGCTTCTAACAGTGGAGACTCCTTTCACTGCTTACATGCTCAACAGCTCCTGTCGTCGCTGGTTGGTGACTGACTGCAAACTGCCAGCTTCAACTGCCGACTACAATTCTGGTGTGGTCTAGTCTGTGATTTGCTTGGGGTTCTCGCCAGCACAGTCATTGTTGGTTCATTTTTCTCTTTCATGACTGGCAGTCATGCAACTGCTACTGTACTCCAACAACTTCTCTATTGTTGCACACACATCTATTGGCACAGAAATGTGTTTACTATGCCATGGACCTATAGTGCATGTACTACTACTACTATTCTGAAGATTGCACCTGTGCATTTTTATTTAGGGAGGTTGTCTCCATAAATTAGTGAAATATAATAAAAATCATCAGACCTGTTTCATTAAAATTGTTGTTGTTGTTTTTTTTTTTTTTTTTGAAGCCCCATCCCAAGTGCCTCTGTTTTTGGAACTAGAATTTTACTATACGTTGAACACTGACACATGGCAGATAAACTTTTAAATACCGAATACGAATAAAATCCATCGAGCCATTCAGGTGCTAGTAAGGCACACATACATACACAAATAGAGTCAGACTGATGGCATAACAAAGCCACTTTTTCATATTCTGGGCTGCTTACAACATGTAAATCCGTATAAAGTATTTCTCGCAATCACATACTTTCTCACATAATCCACCTTCATGTAAAGTAAAAACATTACTATGAAAATAACCTTTAAAAGGCCAGTAGTCATTATGTGGTTCTCCTTGGCTCACTCAGGGCTCTAGTTGTGATGAAAATAGGAGCAGTTGGTAACTCTCACCAGACAACATGGTGTCACATTCTAGAAGACAGTCATATTCATAGTCAAGTTGCTGAGAAAAGACATCTGGAAGTGTTCTATCTGACACCACCCATGCTAATGTCATCTGCTGTTCCAGTTGTTTCAGACTTTGTAGTAAGTCTGTTTCTTGCCTAGAGCTTTTGAGTATTGAAGGTCACACTGTACCCAAATAACATTGTCAGTCTGGTAAAAACACAAGCTGCTCTCTTACATGCAACATCTTCACAAGGGCCACTGGGGACAGCAGCAGCTGATGTAAACAGTCACTTCACATATGGTGCTCTTTGTCATATATTTTAGTAGGTTAATAAATCAAATTTGTTTTAATTTTTGGGAAGACTCTGTGTGGAATTGGAAAAAATGGAATGATGAATGACTTCCTAAGGGCTGATAAACTGTGGCCACAGAAATAAGATTCATCAGTCTCCTCAAGCTGTAATACTTCTCCCTCCAAAGTACCTTCCTATATTCTTCTCCTGTTGTCTAGCCATTCTGTTCACACCAATGCTGGTCATGATAAACGTTCTATAACCTTCACCAGTGAGTGAGCACATTGAGACGGTTGATATAGAATAGGGGATTGGAGGGGAATACAGTAGTAGATGCAGAGGAGCTAGTCTCAAGCACCATCATCTTCACCATTCATGGGACTTCTTTCTGTGGCCTCATCTACGCCATTTCAACATAGGAACAAGGGAACAAACAGATTTAGCCTTGATGTGACATGAAGCTTTACACTTGAGCCGATAAATATTACTTCTGGTTAGGATTTCGGGTTCTCACAGTGGTGATTCTGAAGAGTTCCAGTGTCTGGGATATAATGCTGTATGGTCTCTTGAAAGGCAACTCATGTTTTGGAGGAACATGTCACCTCCATCTTCAGGGTCAAAGAATAAGCCAATCAAGAAACCAGCGTGAAGGAGGTACGAAGCAGGTAGCAGATGTTTGTTGACTTTCAACAGATGACACAGCATTGTATCCCAGAAGACAGAACTCTTCCTACTTCTAGTTCATCAGGTCATGCTGAGAGCAAAGGAGTACTACTCACAGTATGACAGTTATCCAGTATGGACCACACTGTGTATACAAGTATACTTGTATTAGGATTAAGGTCATCAGCTATGTGATTCTGTGTGGATAGGTGCCGACATTTCAGCGGAGCTTGCTGCGTCACTATTTACAGTAGCAGATGGTATCTATCTATAGGAGTACATGGTTTCACACCCTAAGAAACCATAACAAAAATACCTGCCACTGTGAGAACCTGAAATGTAATCAAACTCTTGTTTCAAAAGTTCCAGCTTTGAATTCCAGTTCAAAGCTAGTAACTCTGTATGAGATATTTTTCTCCAGTCACTGTGGATACAGTATCTTAAAACAGTGTTTCTCAACCACCGGGCCCTGGTATTAATTATACCGGGCCTTTGTCGTGTAGAAAAAAGAATTTACCATTCCGTGGTCTGATGAAGGTTGAGAACCACTGTCTTAAAATATTCACCACATGCTTACTGCTCCCGGTACATGGCGTGCACTGGCTGTTGCAGAAGGTGGTGGGGAGAAGGATGAAGGAGATGGCCTTGAGGCAGATGGTTTGGTGGGCGGGTCAGCAGGGACTACTAAGAGCAATTCAGCTGAGTCAGTCCATCACCAACAGGGGCAGGGTACTGGGGGGAGCAGCACCCCAGTGCAGCCACGCACTGCATCTATAAGGGCACGCCCTACCTCAAGTCGCATTACTGCTGCTGAACTTGAGGAGCTGTTCCAGCGACAACAGGGCTCTAATAATGGTAACTCTCAGTTATGATAGTGACAGCTTAATGGTTAATAAAATAGTAAATTCATAGATAATACAGTTATGTCTCATTATTAGATGCCATATTTTATATAATTTTCTGAACACTAGAATAAGTAAAAAGGTTCATATGAATATGTACCCTGAGAGCCTTCCTTAAAAATTTACTGCCATTCTAATTTCAACATCCTGGGTTCAGCGGTCTGTGTAGAAGAAGAGAACATAGTAAGTACAGGGTGAGCCGAAGTCCCTGTTCACCAACAGTAGACAGTGAGTATAGTTAGAGGGTCCCCATACATTAACACAAATATGTTTCTCATACTTTCTTACATCACAACAAATGTTAGAAATAGCCTCCATATGCTTGTAGGGATGCATGTACTTGACATAACCTGTTTGCAAAGCCATGGCGACAGTTCTCTTGGAGGGTTGTTCTGATGAAATTTGTGATGGCTTCCTTCAGTTCAAGGAGGGTATGAGGACTGTCTCTATAAGGTGTGCCTCTCATTGCTCCCAACAGATAGTAATCAGGGGGTGTCAGGTCGGGTAACCATGGTTGCCAAATGCCATTTGACATTATTCTATTGCCAAACACATAGCATAGTAGTGTTATGGAAACATGAGGTGTGTGTGCAGTATAGCAAGAGTCATGTAACTTCGAACAAGGCCAAGAGTAACCTTGAATGTGCAGAAGAAAAATTTCAGACAAGGGGGTGGGTTCGAGGGAAGAACGAGTGTTAAGAAACTCCTCCCACCACAAGCTATGCGCGGGATTTGCAAGTGTCATGTAACTTCGAACAAGGCCAAGATTAACCTTGAATGTGCAGAAGAAAAATTTCAGACAAGGGGGTGGGTTCGAGGGAAGAACGAGTGTTAAGAAACTCCTCCCACCACAAGCTATGCATGGGATTTGACTAGGAATGTGGGGCCTTGTTCGAAGTTACGTGACACTGTCTATAGCACCATCCTGTTGGAAGTAGCCATGGGCAATTTCATCCTCACATAAATGTTCAGTGAAGAGCTAAAGACTCGCTACATAGTAGCATTCTGATTTGAAATGTCATCAAAGAATATGGGGCCAGTTATCCAATTTCATGATATGGTGCATCAGGAACCAACCTTCTGATCATGTTATGGTGTATCATTGATCTCATATGAATTAGACACTGACCAAATGTAGCTGTTTTGGCTGTTGATGTAACCAGATAATTGAAACCATGTCTTGTCAGGAAAAAAATATGACTTCTAGAATGTCCTCTCCATTGACAGTAATTATGTCTCTAAACCATCAGCAGTATTCAGCACGTTTGATGTCCCCACCTTCAATTCATGCACTAATGTTATCTTGTAGGGATGTAGGTGCAAATGCTTCTTCAGCACTCTGTGTGTGCTGCCACATTAATATTAAGAATGAGGCGGTTTTGTCACATGTAGTGTAGGTGCAAAGTAACTTTGGCTCACGCTGTGTTAATAAACTACATAATTTTACTTTCTTACAAGAGGTGCTTGAAATTACCTCCATGTACACAGATACTCCTCAACTCTGCATGAAAATGAACCTCACAAGTGTTCAAAGATTATGGGTATATTTTTTATTTGATCTGAAAAGTGTTGAAGTTTGTTCCACAGTTCCTCTCTAGTACTGATGGTAGTGGCATAGGTGTTCATTTTCAAATTTTGCCACATAAAACAAATTAAGAGGATTCAAGTCAGGTGAGTGTGAAGGCCAGGAAACTGGAGCTGCACATCTACAACCATTTTAGCATCCAGGATAATTTTCAGATAGCTCCTTACACACTTTACCTCACAACTGTCATGTGATGGAGAACTATCATATTGAAATCACATGAGAAATTGCATATTGAAGGACTCATCTTCCAGTAGTGTGTTCAGAGAAAATTAAGATGGTCACAGTCACAAACTTGTGCCCATAAAACATGAGGGGCAGTGAGGCAGCACCTGAAGCTGCAGCTCATAGGTTAGTGGAAATTTATCATTGCCGAAGGTGAGATTAAATGGCATTTAATAATGACACATTCTACCTTTGAACTCAACTAATTCCATGGTTTGGCATCTTCTATCATCATTTGATATTCACCAAATCAAGCAATTCCAAAATGACTTCTGAAGACTGTCTCCTGGGGACTTCACTGTCCCAAGAAAAATCACAAAGTATCGGTTAGATTAGTGGGAATACGGATGGTCAGGTGATTAAGTCATGTGTATGAGTGTGACTGTAGACAGGTTTTGGATTGATGGCCAAATTTATTGGACTCTGTGACATAGTGCATGACTGCACTTTACATTTCATTATTGTATGCACAAGCATACGCACACACACACAAACACACGCATTCTAACTTTTTCTGTTAGCTTACAGGCTGTCTGTGTGATGCCCTTTTGTGGGCTGATGAAAAAATATAGCTCCCAACAGTTTGTTGACTGTTGTGTGCACATGGCTGTCAGGGATTGGTGTTTGATGTTACCCTGCAGTGGATGCCTGTGCAACATTTGGCTGATTCCAAGATTCTAACTTGTAGGCATCATATCACAGTATCAGAGACTATGCTAGAAGTGATGTCCATGTGAGTGAAGTTTTCTTTCTGTTTGCAGCTTCATCTGAGGTGATGACATCACGATTCCAGGCACCCACACTGGAGGGCATGTCACAGCCTTCATCTCCTGCTCGAACACCTCGAGTATACACAAGTGTGGCAGAGATGAAACGCTGTAAAGGCAAGGTGAGAATGGCAGGAGGCTGTACTGTTTTAGCTTTCTATCATCAATATTGTCACCTGTAGGGGTGACTATAGACAGAGTTTTGATTGGTGAATAGATTTATTGACCACTTACAGATTGTAACTACAAATAACTGTAACATTATCCCTATTTCCACACTTTACAGTTCACTAGAGCACACAGTGTAGGTTCTCAGGCTTTTACTAGACATTTCCTGGTAATGGCTTCAACAGTGACAATTCCTCTGCCTCTGGCTCAAGTCCTCTCTTCACAGACTCCCATACAGAACTAGCTGAACTGGCTAACGTTTTCCCTTTGCTTATAACATCTCGGCATGGACCACATAGAAAACTCAGCTCTTCAATTGTTGTAGTCAAACCGTTGCATTATTAAGAAATTGCTGCCTAGCAATGGGAAAGTGTTTACCAAGCTGTTACCCAGAAATGGCCCTGGTATATCCATCCATCTCGCAGTCGTTGCATAGCAGCGGCTTTACGTCCTGCAATATAATCAACATTGGCATTGTAAGAACTATGAAAGTGGCCATAATTTTTAACAGTGAATAATATCTTCATGTTCTCTCCTTGGTGCATTTTAACAGTCAAGTATACGGGTCCGCTTCTCCACTGGCGGGACAGAGCTGCACCGAGACTTCCACAGCACCCCAGACCTAGCACAGAGCAGTACAGTGAATCGCACCATTGACTGCCGTGTTCCAAAGGGGCACTGCAGTCAGGAAGATGTGGCAACATTGCTGCTATTGAGTGGTGGAGTGGTGACTGGGCGTCCGCCTCTCCCTCCACCCACTCATCCTCCACCACCACCGCCAGTTGGACAGCTGGTATGTATCTTCTCAAACAGAGACAGATGGCTGAACAGATTCAACCAACAGATGCTATCATGCAACTGATTAATATTATTATCAAGTCTACAGTTCAGTGAACCAAATGGCCTTCTTCATGATTCTTTGATGCATTTCTTGTTTTCATCATCTGTGCCACATACATCATCCAGCTGCACTCGGTTTTAAACCCTCCAACAATAATGGGTTGCTGATAGGAATGTCAATATTTTTATGAACTAATTTATGTACAGAAGCATTCTTTATTTAAAATGAATATCCCAAAGTTAATTTACATTTAATTTCAATATAGGACATTGGTTTTGAACTGTGGTACATGAAGTATATTTCATGCGTTGTCTAACACACACAAAAAGGCCTTAAATATGTCTTGACAACTTACGCTGTATAAGTATTTTTGTGCATGGAATAAATAAAATTGTTTACGGTTAAAAAGCCTATCTGCCTTCTTTCGTTTATAGTGTGTGATAATGCATTTGAAATAAGAATTCCTTGGGAAAGGGGTGTATGAACAAGTGGTAGTTCAATCAACACAGCATTGTATAAGATTATATAACTCTCATTTTATTTTGCTATTTGTTTTATCCTAATTGTCATCAGGCTGATGTTACATTCACTCTTCCACTTAATGTTAGTCTGTATACACTGGTTAGTGTTTACTTTTAAATATGTAGATATTAAATAGTTATGTAGTTTTATGATGGACACTTTTGTTTTGTCACTATGTTCAAATATTTGGGGATAAAATTAAAATGTGTGTTGCTTGTCTAATATTTTCTGGTTAATTGTGTTGTACAGTGCTGCCATTCTGTGTTGTCTCTGCTTATCACTATTTGCGTACTATTACTTTGGTCTAGAGTGTTGCTGAAACTGTTGCTACTAGGTGTCTAGAATATTGTCATGGAAGATTGCTTGACTGTGGTATGTGAAGCTGCAGATTGTTGATAGGTGCTAGTGTTATGACATATTATGTATATAGCGATGTGTGTGTTGTATTTTTTTTTCTTGTGTGTTATTATGTGTGTGTTGTCTGTGTAGTTTTATCTTAATTTTTAGTGTTTGGATTTTGTGGAATGCTGTGGATTTTTTTTAAGATGTTATAGATTTTCTTGTAATTTCTATGTGGTGCACTTTTCTCTTCATAGTGTCCTCTTGTTTGTGGTAGGAGTGCATATTTCTGTTGATATTAAGATATTAGCCACCTATGTGTTGACTGCGTATGGATATTGAATATTGACATGTTGTTACTGTATTTGTTAGAGGCATTGTTAGTAGAGTAGGTCTGTGACTGAGGTTGCTGTTGGTTTGTTGATGTATGAAGTATGGATGGCGCTGTTGTCTTGTTGGCAGAGTGGCAACATGGATGGGCAGGAATATGTAGCCTGGTGGTGTCATCTGTCTGTATACTGGTTATGTTGGAAGTAGCATTCTGTTTGTTCAACCAACATAACAGACAGAACAATTTATTGTCCCTTACTCTGGTTGGCTGTTTACAATGCTCCATAGATGGGCAGAGTGTGTAAATACTAGCATATAGAACAAGACAGGTGCACAACTCAGTTATCACCCTGTTTGCGTAGTGACAAGGAATTCACACAACGGGAGTATCAACTAAGGAAAAGAGAAGTATAAAGTAACAACAAATTTAATAAATCACAAAATAATAATCAAACAACAGGCATTCGTGAAGAGTGTGCCTAAACATGAGTATACAAAGTAACAACAAATGGAAAAGAAAACTGGCATATGACATACCTGAGTGCAGAGTGACATCATTAAAACAAAACAGTTAAAATGGCTGTGCAAATCAATCCTGATACATAGTGCAAGGAATACAGAACTTCTCTGTTGATAACTTATTCACAGTATATTTGGTTTAGTAATGCAGCTTCTGTTAAAGGTTAGCCCCACTCTGACCACCACAAGCCTTTAGCAGAGATAAATCTAGAATAAGAAACAAGAATGGGAAAGGAACAGGCCAAGCTTACATAACCTAGGCTTCCAAGACCTCAGATGCTCAAGTAATTTAGCACTACGTGTATACTGTGAAGAAATGTGAGGGAGTGGATATATAGATTCACGTATTCCTGATCTCATTACTGGTTTGATGAGGCCCTCAGTATATAAACTGCAAAGGCGGGAACGTGTTCACTAGCCAGGCTGCTAGTAGTAAGGGATGAAGCTAGGGGCAAGCACCACAGGACTGACAGTGTGTGGATATCAGCAATGTTAGGAGAGGGTGATAGTATCATAACTCCATCCCCTCTCGTCACATTCACCATGTCAACAGAGAAGACTGATGATGGCCTATATTCTGAGGGCCTGACACTTGACAAGCCACACCTCATGACCGTCAACACTGGGGCATCCGTGATGATCGCCAGACTTGATATCAACACAGGGCCACCTGAGAAGCTTCCAGCCTGGTCAAATGCCCTGCAGGTGATGTCAGGGCGACCCGCTCTATTTGGAGGGGGTGTTGGTAGAGCTGACCCTAAAGGAACAAGCTCTGCAGACCTGGGTGTTCTTTGCCAAGATCACCAACAAACATCTTGCTGAATATCTTGTAAGCCCATGACACTGCTTTGGATTTGGTGTGACCAAGAGGAAATGCCATTATGGAGCCCTGAGGATGATGATGTTCATCCTCCTATATGAAGGATAGCATCGAGGTAATACCGGCTTGCTGTGGGAGAGTTATGACTGTGCTGCTGGAGGACTCCCTGGAGGCGACAAATGGCTCAGCAGGCCAAGTTCGGAGGCTGCCCAGTGAGCTGGAGCCAGTATTGCCAGTGTGGCCTTGTGTATTAATTCCAAAAATTATTTTGCACCATCATAAATACTGAGATATGCACTAGTCACTGTGTAGATAAAGAATGCAGCCTGTTGGCATGTCAGTGCCACCACTCGTAACACTTACAATTCAACAAACTGAAATGAACACAGTTGTAAATAAAATGCAGACATGCTCTTTTCATTGGCCTCGTATACTAAATCATAGAGAGCAGAGTTAACAGATTTTCACTGTAAAAGCATCGTGGCTGTAATATCAGAGGAACTGCTACTGTCCTCTCTCATCTTCCTTCCAAATTTTCACAGATTTCTTTCACTGATCGAGTTGCGACTGCTCTTCATACTAGAATGCAGAGGTTCCAGAAGCCTATCACTGTATCATGCCAGTTTACTGGCTGTTAGCCTTTTTATATTCTGGCCTTTGGAAGATCCTTTCTGCCTCAGGTTTTATTTCTGTACATTCGGGGCAATGTCTGCACCACTTGTCCTATCACATACACTGCTGTGTGCTAGAAGAATCCTGCATGACATGGAAGATCAGATTCCCATGTTAAACAGGTGTCTCCCTGCAGGTGAAGGTGGATGTGTCCCGTGCAGCAGTGAAAACCAACTCGACAGCAACAGCAGAGTATGCCAACACGACAAACAGCATCAAGATGGATGCACACCCTGGCAACACTTTGATGCTGGGGAGGAATGTTGTAGCAACAGGAGATGGAGAAGTTATGTCTAGTTTTAGGCCTGCCAACAGTGCCAAGCTGTATGCGTCTCCCGAGGATGTCAAGTCCGTTGGGTACAGGTCCCGCAGCCTTCCAGTGCACTCAGCACGCCCACAGGTTTGATGAAATGTTCACATGAAAACATCCACTATGGCCAAACTTATTTTCAACAGATTGAGTACTGAATGCTGTGTCTTCTGAGGGGAGCTGATATTTATACATTTTGATGAAATCTAATTTCAGAAGTTCTTAAATTTTAAGTACTGTACTTTATTATTGACCAAATGGAATTATTTGTTTAGTGAGGACCAAAATAGATTTTAGATTATGTTCACTTTCATACATACAGGGTGTCCCAGGAGGAATGGACCAAACTTCGGGAGGGTGTTCCTTATGTTAAAGTATGCCGATATAACCCAAAACACATATGTCCAAAGTTGAACGGTTACGGAGCTAATGGACAGAGAAGTGTCAAACTTTGACCGGCGTTGCACACTTGTTGATTACAAAATACATATTAAAACTGGCAGGAATATGTGGATTCTGTAATGTTAATAATGTACGTAACATAAAACTAACTTGTGAGTGACATGAAGCCATAAAATTGAAGTACAAAATACTCGCTCGCCATGTCATAATTGTCCTTAGGGTTTCCAAGCACTATACATGAGACATGAATGGCAAGCGCTGACATAACGTGCTGACTGCGCATTCTGATAAAGCCAGCTACATAAGCACGGCTAGGGTGAATCACGGCACTCAAGGACAAACAGAGATAAGGCCTCTCAGCTGATAGGTATAATCCGTGGACCCGCTAGAAGACCACACTTTTCTTGGGCCATTATCTCTGTAACCGTTCAACTTTGGACATAGGTGTTTTGGGTTATATCGGCATACTTTTAACATAAGGAACACCCTCCCGAAGTTTGGTCCATTCCTCCTGGGACATCCTGTATATATCAGTTCCTCTCCATCAGTGGTACCAACATGGCAATCATGTGTGGAGAATGCAACACAAATGTCATTTAATGTAAGGTCCTGAAGTACTGTTTCTAGAAGAGCAAATCTTCAGTGGAATTTAAATGGGCATGGGAAATGTACTTACCTTTCTGTTTGACTGCTATGACTATCATACTATCTCATTCAACTGTGAAATACATCAGGAGCTGGGATAGCTCAGTCAGTATAGCGATGGGCCATGGGCTGGATGGCTGGGGTTCAATTCCCAGCAAGGAAAGTGTTTTCTCTTCTCCACAGCACCCAGACTGGCACTGGGACCCACCCAGCCTCCTATCCAATGGGTTCTGGGGGCTATTTCCCAGGCGATGAAGCAGCCAGAGGGTGAAGGTGACCACTCACCTCCATCTAGCTCTGAGGTCAAGAATAGTGGCACAGTACCTCCACTCCCTTCATATGTCTTCATGGCATAGTGCTTAATCAAGCAGAGGGACAACTTTACCTTTCTTTATATGGAGATACATCATTAACATACAGGAGACAATTACTGGTGCATTCTGTTACTCTACTTAAAGTTAACTTTCATGGACAAAAAACTGACTCCTTTATCAACTGACAATATTACACAGCACTTTTAATGTATCAGTGAATATTTCTGATTTCAGGTTCGCAAATCCCACAGTCTGCGCTCCTCTGCAACATCTTTCAAGCCTTCGTCACCTCTTGCCAACTCAGGCTCTTATTCCACAACAGCCAGCACCAACAGCAATCCATATGCTCAGCCATTCCGTGGGGCTACTCACAGTCATATCAATGTGAATAGTAGCTCTACCAACTGTGACAGCATAAAACTGAGGAACAAGGCAAAGAAGAAGAGTGGCTTTACAACCAGCTCATCAGCAGCGAACTTGTCTTCTTTGTCTGTGGGTCCACCCCCCATACCAGAGCCAGACTATAGTCTAAGTGAAAGTGAGGGTGAAAGTGAGGGAGAAGGGGGTGGGAGAGGGAGAAGCCAGGCTGTGCCCCAGAGTGTGGTGGTGGCAGCAGCAGAAATGAGTGAAAACAGCAATGCCAGTGGGAGCAGCTCAAGCTCAGGCACTATGCCTCACAGTTTCAGTGTCGAGGAAATTCAGAAGGTTCGAACGCAGCTGAAGAGCTCAAAGTCGTACCCCAATGACTTCCTGCTTCTAAATGCCGACACAGGGGAAGATGGAGACAACTCCTCTAGTGGTGTTAGCTCTGACCAGGATGTTCCTGTGGGTCCCCCCACTGGCTTTGATGATGGCAGATCTTCAGAAGGATCTGGAGGCTCTGCACCTGATGAGAAGGGGGTGAAAGGGCCAGACTTTCAGAAACAAACTTCTGTGATGGTGACTGTTCCCTCAGGCCGGCAGAGGACAGCCATTTCAGGGGGCATTTTGACGAGGAATGCTGTATCATTGGCACAGCTTCCTCCCCCTCTGGAAAGGGATGGGGAAGCAGAAGGAGAATTGGTGGTTCCTCCTCCTCCTGAGTTTCTTGGAGCTTCAAGTAATGGAAGTGGAGGCCCAGAAGAGGTGCTGGCCCCTCCACCACAGTTCTGTGACAACCGACTGGTGACACGAGTGCGCATCGTGGGAGCTGTTCCTAAGACTCCAGGAGAGGATAGTCATCTACACAGCCACTGAGGCCTAAACTCATATTACAACAACGAAACACATTCCAGTGTCACCAACCTATCCCCTTTGGAAGCAGCAACATTTGTAAGAATGTTATTCCATAAACATGATGTAATCTCTCTTTCTTTGTTGTCCCATACTTATATTGATTATTCTCTCTCTTCTCTTTATCATGAGCTAGGTGTTAAAATCTTTGTGGATTTGTAGGCAGAGTGAGAGTAGTGGGAAGTGTAATGCTCAGCAGGTTGTCACGTAGGAGAACCGAATGCTGCATTCCAATACTTCACCAGTGTAAATACACAGGGAGAGGGGCTGTGCTTCTTCCACAGGATATTGGAAATTAATGTGCAATGCAATGAAGGCATGAACTTGTGCAGGCAGTCCTATACATGAAAGGAATTCTGTCTGTGTGGTAGTAGCCACAGATTGCCAGTTGGGACTCGTAATATTCATTCCACGAGAACAAGAATTAGGCATACATTGCTGTATCTAAAAGATGGAACTGTACAGCACGAAATGAATATCCTATTTAAAAATTAGAATTATAAGTGAAACATTTAATGCAAGCAAGTACCATACTGATAATGACCCAGCGTGCATCTTGGTCATGTTGATGGTATACTCTATTGCATTTGATGTTTGCGTGACTCCTGCCTTGACCATTGTAGACCTAATGTTAAGCTTATAAGTGCAACTGACATTACAGGTGACACGGATAATTGTTAATAGATTTGCCAGCCATAATTAAGATATTATCAACATTCCTGCCAACATGAGTGTAAAGTAGCTACTGTATAGACGCCAGGTGTAAGCTATAGACTGTTTTTTTTTTCAGATTGGCAGCTGTGTATACTGACACAGATGCCAAGGTTAGAGGATTTGATGCTGTGCTACAAGCTATCAAAACATTTGCCATGGCAGTATAAGTTTTTCCCTCAAGAGATTGGTTACAATGACGCCAAACTTTTATATATAGATATGTGTGTTGTGTGGCAACTGTCAGTATTTCAGATCAGACTGAGTGATAAACTGTTTGCATGAGTGCACACATTCACTTCCTTTTACGCTCACAAATTTTCAGTACAAAATTTGTGTTCCATTTGCACACAGCTGACCATCATCTGTGTTCTGATCACATGCTGATGAATGTCTGTTGTGTTCAGTTTATGCACATTTTATCTTCTGTGTTCTCTTCATGCACAGATGATTGTCTTGTTTTGTTTCAAAGTTCAGTGCCCTGACTTACAGCAGAAAATGAAAAAGTCACTGCAGAACCATCCTTCCAATGAAAGTTGTACCAAACATATGAATAGTGAAATGGAAGCTGTTGATTAGAATATTTCTTTTGTCAGGACAGGAAATCTGCAGTGCAATACAGACACACATGGTGACCAACCAAACATTGTGAACAGTAATTGGGACTGAGTACGCGCTGATCCAGTAGACCAGACTATCTTGGTGTGTCAGCTGGGTTCCATGTTGTGGCTTTTGCCAGTTGAGCGGGTACTCTTTGTGTTATGTCAGTAGTGCCATTTCTGTGACATCCATGTTGGATAGCACCACAAAATACTCACAGGCACAAATTTGGTTTGTAATTCCCTGGCCTTGCAGCAGCAGAATTTGGGAAGTTTGTACATATTTGTAAATTGTATTACATCAACATTGTGTGTGTAGATAATTAGATTAAATGTAAAATATACTGAAAAGCTCCTTGAAAATTGTTTTGTATCATTTTTGCGTCATCTTTTTAGTCTACATATCAAAATAAATTATCTCAAACGGATTATTATGGTACATTCTTTACAGACAGCAGTTAGCTGTGTCTCTTGTTACATCCTGTCTGGTTCAAGTGTCTCTTCTTTTCTGGTGTTTTTTATATTTTACATGTGTTGATGGAAGAAATAGTCTTCCAGATTTTTTTTCATCTTACAATCTTCCCTTTTCACTTCCTTGACAGCTCTTTCCACATTTCTTAATATCCTCTGCTCTCCATCGGACAATCTTGTATTGGGACCCTTTCCTTTAAATTGTAATTGTAATGCCCTTTTCGGTATAAGTGTTCTATCCATTTTTTCACATGGGCAAACCATTGCAATTTTTTTTTCTTTCAGTTCTCTTACAAAATTCTGAACACCAGTTTCTCCTCTAGAAATTTCATTTTTAATTCTATAGCTCCCTGCATTCCCCTTAATTCTAAAAAATTTCACATCCAATGATAACGAAGGAATAAGAGCTGTAAAGTAAACATATAATAGTTAAAAACTGTATTTATAGGATAAAATACACCTTACATGTTTTAGCCCTATAGGGCCATTTGTAGAAACGTATGTGTTAAAATAGGAGATTGCTTAGTATACATTCGTGTAATTATAGCAGTAATTTCTACATTAAATACACTTATTATTGATAGTGTAGGAAGTTCTTTGTTTATGTATAAATTTCAATCAGACTGTAATCTGTTTAAAATTCTGGCTTGTATTGGTGTTGCATTTTCTATGTAGATTTCCTGAATCAGACTCTCCAAAAAAGAATACACCCCCAAAACGTTCATCCATCTGCTCTTGCTGTTTTACTGCTATTGCTTTTCAACTTCACTTTAGGATTTGCCACTACCAAGGTCCAAGAAGGGCTGCACCATAGCTCAAGCATTTAGTCGCTGGCTTCCCACCGTGACAGCCCGAGTTCGATCTCCGGGTCTGGTCAAGTGGGATTTGTGGTGGACAAAGCGGCGCAGGGGCAGGTTTTCTCCAAGTACTTTGGTTTCCCCTGCCAATCTTCATTCCACCAATTGTTCCACAATCACCCTCACCTATCATCTCGGGCTGATACAATAGGCCAGAAGTGGCCGCAGTACAAGGGACTTAGTCCCACCCCACTAGCAATAAAAAAAAAAACGTTCAAGAAAATCAGAATAGAAGGTAAGTGAATGGAACACATCACTTTCTGGTGTTCACTGATGCTGATTTTTTAAGGAAAAATAGAAATTCTGTAAAGAGAAAACGGTGAAGCTTTATGAGACATTAGTGCATAGGCTGATCTGATATTAGACATGGAAATGATGTATTTGCTGATTCTTTGTCACCAGAATGCAGTACAGAATCATAAAGCTAGCTGATAGATCTGTTGAAAATGTGGCTAAGTTAATTGGGAACGGCATGAACAAAACAAATTAAGATCAGATTAAATTTGGAAGATGTGTCCTACCATTCAGTCCAAGTGTCTTTTGTTTGTAGTCTGCTACCTGAAAACATGAAAACTGAAATATAGAAAACTATGTAGTTTTGTTATGGTGTGAAATGTGTCCCACATTAAAGTAAGGACTAAATTCAGGATGTCTGAAAGCAGGATATTGAGGGGAATGTATGGATCTGCAAGGGATGAAATGACATGAGGTAGGAGAATATTACACAGCTAGGTGCTTCATACTATGTACTCCTCACCAACCTCCTGAATTATTTGAATAATCAAATAAAGGAAGGGCTTGTAGAGCACATGCGAGAGAAGGAAAATGATGCCATGATTTGGCAGAAAAGTAAGAAAGAAAGAAAGAGACCACTTGGAAGACTAGGTGTAGGTGGGAGGATAATATTAAAATTGATTTGAAGAAATATGGTTGGGAACTGTGGACTGAATTCACTTGCTTTGGGGTAGGGGCCAGTAATGGGCAGTTGTGAACGTGGTAATAAAGCTGTCGGTTCCCTTAAATGAAAGGAATCTTGTGAGTAGCTGAGAAGGTATTAGGTTTCCATGAAGGACTAATAGATCAATGTAGGCTGAACAAATTCAGGGTGCTCGACCAGTTTTAAGACGCTTTTCGAAAATTTAAAGTTTGAAACCCGTGAGACGTGAGAGACTACTCAACTGTAAATTCAACATTGAATTTTCAAGTAGATTCTAAAGGGTTCTAAAGATGGTATGTAGCACACAATCACTGGGTTTTCGGACTTTTTTTTTTATTCGCTTATGGGGGCTGGAGTCCAGCTGGGTCCACTCGTCACGGCAGCCACTGATTGGTCTATTGTACTTGCCCCGGGTGATTAAGATGATGATGAATTTGAGGGAACGAAGATTGGCAGAGGAAACCGTAGTACTCGGAGAAAACCCACCCCAGCGCCACTTTATCCACCACAAATCCCACTTGACCACACCCAGGATCGAACCCGGGCCGCCGCGGTGGGAAGCCAGCGACCGCCAGCGACTAACCGCTGGAGCTATTGCGCGGCCTAAGGTTTTCGGACTTGTCCGCCGTCCGGTATTCCAGACGACCGTTCTAGACCTTCTAGACTAGAAAACGTTTCCAGTGCTCTTTCTAAGGTACCCAACTGAGTAGGTGTCTTCCCCACCCCCGTCACCTGAGGGCAGAAACAGATGATATTTCCGAAACGTGTTTTCTAGTTTCTAGAATACAGGACGATGGACAAAATTAAAAAAAAAAAAAACCCAGCGAATCTAGGGATGAATTTTCAAGATTGGCACCAGTGTGTGTCAGCATGACAAGAGGCATTACGGCGTTGTCGGCCTCAACGGGTCCAACGGCGTCAGATATTGTTCAAAATCAGGGACATAAGGGACGTCTGTGTAGTCGTTGGTGCATGGGGAGAGAACTGATAAGCTATTAATAAAGTGTTACCTTACAAGTAGTACATTGTTATGATTACCTTTTAGTGTACATAAAACTAATATGTGAAAGGTTGCATCACGTTTAAATGTGAACTACGGGACAGGAAATGTCAGATGAAAAGGTGAGGTTAAAGGAACCTTTTGGATAGTTGCTGATACTTATGAAAGGGATGATATGCAGGCAGCGCTCGGTGAACTACTGGTGCTTTAGACTCCAAACACGTGACAGTATTTGGATTTTGCTTACCATTTCTGAAGTACTGTTGATACGGAACCGCTGTAATTGTCAAGTCGCCGAATTCGCTTTTGGCGTTCCTTGCTTGTTTGTAGCACGGCAAGGAACACCTGCGGTACAGGTCGTTACTTCTTGTCCATCCATTCGTGACTAGTGTCAGAGGTGCTTGCAAAACTTTATTTTTTTAATTTTGGTAAAACCTTTCATTATTAATGTAGGGGTTTTAAGTGAAATGTTTGCATCACTCTAGCCCAGTCAGAAGTGCTGCTCTTTATAAAGGTGAAAATGAACTTTTATGTTCATTTTGTTGACCATTAAGTCATCGTAATTTTGATCATGGTTTGAATTCTGCTGTGGACATGATGTTACTTTCACACTTTTTGGGTCTTTCTTAATGGACCAGTTCCAAAATGCAGTTACGACAGAGACAAGTGAAGATGGATAAGTGTTTTCATCATCCAAATGAAACATTTCTATTCTTGCCTTCTATCCTACATGCACTGTCAACATGTTTCGGCCTCACACGTCCCTCCTCAGGCATAGTTCTCTTACTAAAATTGTTGCACTGTCATTTCAGTTTAGTCGCATGTGGATTGCATGGTTACTTTCAATAAAAGCCTCAAAAACCCATAAAATGCTGGTACTTGCTGATAGCTAGCAGCCCCCATTGCCAGCTGTGTGTGGTATGTTTCTTTCAGTGGTATGTGTCACTTGTCCAGTTATTCTGGCAGGTAAAAAAAAAAAAAGGTAAAGGTATCCCTGTATTTTTTTTTATTGCTAGTGGGGTGGGACTAAGTCCCTTGTCCTGTGGCCACTTCTGGCCTACTGTACCAGCCCCAGATGATAGGTGAGGGTGATTGTGGAGCAGTTGGTGGAATGAAGATTGACAGGGGAAACCAAAGTACTCTGAGAAAACTTGCCCCTGCACTACTTTGTCTACCACACATCCCACTTGACCAGACCCAGGATCGAACCCGGGCTGCTGCAACTAACTGCTTGAGCTATGGCGCACCGCAGCAATCCCTCTAACAGGTTGTGGAGGCCCATAGGGTTGTGAAATGTCGAAGCTCCCATATTTTCTAGACAGTTGGCTCACAGATGGTGGTGAGGTTTGTCAGCCTTATATGCTGGCCACCCTTTACCCCCAGGAAGATTCCTGGTACTCATTTCTGTTAGAGGCTGAGTCGACCCCAGGGCCATAGTGTGGCTGGAAGGATTGAGAAAAAAATGCAGTGACCTTATTTGGAATCAAACCCACAGCCTTCCAGCTTGTAGCATAGTGCCTCAACCAACTATGCTACTGCTTGCCTGGCAGCAGGTTCCACATGTGACTGAATTGAAATGACTGTGAAACAATTTTAGTAAGAGAACTATGCCTGAGGATGGCTGGGATAGAAGACAAGAATAGAAATGTTACGTTTTAATGGCGAACAAATTTATCTGTTGAAGATTAATATTAATGCAACATGATGCTTAAGTACAGTACTAATTGAAGAGTTTAAGGGTGTTTATACACATAACACACTGTTTTATTGCAGCTGCTGTTGAGATTGGATCATCCCCATGGGCCTGGAGACACTTTCATCAGCTGGCAACATGGCAGTGGTGGTTTCTTTGCCACTACAGGGGTTGATCAGTCTGTTGTGATCTATGATCACCATGGCAGGAAAGTGGAGCATATCCCTCTGCAAGGGTATGACCTGCATTTAGCTCTGGAAAGTCGCTTGTATCTGCGGCAATGGCTGTGGCTCCTTTGTAGCAGATACTGTGTAAACAGAAACCACATCAGCTGACTTCAGCTAGGACCATATAGTTGGCAGTAGAGCAGGGGTTCAGAATATAAAAATTGTTGTGTGATATTTATTTCAATTTATCACATGATATCTAAGATTAATAAATAATTGTAAGTTTATCCCTGTATGGCTCTTGAATGTATTCTTTAAGTCAAGAACATACTGTGATGTAAGATTTGAGGTGTAGGTGTCATTGAGTATTCATATTGTGGTCGTCTGGTGGTCTCTGTAGTCTCCCAGAAAAGTGTCAGTGCTTCGGAGGAACTTCCTACCTCCATCTTCATGGTCAGTTCAAACCTAGAAACCCACAGTGTGTACTTGTGCAACATCATATTAAATTGAATGGCAAAGAAAATAAACAAGATATAAAAGTTTGTGAAGATGGAATTAATATTAAGATATTAATACAGTTATAGTGTTTCTGGACATTATCTTTGTCATCAAATTGGAAGCACATCTGTTTAAAAATGTGCCTCCATTTTGATGATAAATTCTGTCACCAGAAAGATGTTCTTGCAGTGGGAGATTCACTGTCTCCAGTGGTCAGTAATGTGGTTGTGGAACACTTTGAGAAAATAGCACTGGATACAGAACACCACAAACCCACTAAATGACTCAGATACATCAATGACATTTTCGTGGTTTTGGCCACAAGGACCAGCAAGATGGCAGCCATTTCTTCACTACCTGGACAGCATCAGGCCTACCATCAAATTCATGATGGAAGTTGAAGCTAATGATATACTCTTCCATTCTTGGATGACTTGGTGATGAAGAAGGGTCCTAAATTGGCCACAAAAGTGTACTGGAAATCCAGTCATATCAGTCATTATCTGCACTTCAAGTTCCAGCACCCAAATCACGTGAAAAGGGGCATTATTTATAGTTTGATCAGATAAGCCAAGGTCATATGCCAGGATCAGAACGAGTGCAGCAATAAAATTAAGAGCATGAGACATGGTCTGATGCTTAATGAATACCCACAAGAATTTGTTGACTTCTTAATGAAGCCAAAGAGAACAGTCCTTCAGATGTGATATGGCAGGACACTGTTATTATCCCACACATTAAGGATATCCCCAAGAAATTCAGACACATTGCAGACTGTTTCAATGTCAAGACCATTTTTGTGAAACTAAATGTACACTCTTTGGGACATTGACGAAACATGGACCAATTAGAGGTGCCCAGCAGACGAATGTGTGCAATATCCCATGTGACTTTGGCAGATGTTACACTGGTAAAACAAGAATACCTTTAGAAGTATGCATTAGGGAGCAAAAGTACAACCTGGCCCTAGGTCTGCTTGAAAAATCAAAATTAGCCCAACATATGTATGAAGAAGCCCATAAAATATGTTGCAAAAAGTGATGGTCTTGCAGACTGAACTGGACACCAACCTACAGGAAATACATGGAATCTTCCCACATTTCTGTGGTAGATCATCTGTTCAGTCAACCCAGCCTGAACTTCTCTCTGATCTGGACTCCCATTATTGCAGCAGAAGTCAGAACTACAACTCTGTCCAGTGTAGGTTATGTGTGAAAATTGTGTTTTTATGTTGGTACTATGCAGAGAATTTATCCCTCTAATGATGACTTGTATTCCGATAGTGCTCTGATTTTAACAACAATAGTCATGAACTAGTGCATGGACATAGGCGCTAGGTCTCGTGTGTAGATTTTTTTAATGATTTTAATGTTTGTCCTAATTTCCACAGATGGTTTATACTGTGCTTGGTTTATATATCCTATCTTGGAGCTGGCACATGTGTCCAGTGAGAGGGACTAGCTCTCTTGATGGGACCCAACTGAGTAGGTTCCACCCGAAGACAGAGACAGAAACCAGTCTCCTAAACATTTTATGTTCCAAATAAAAACAAGATGATAGATAATGTCTAGAAACAGTAATTTTATTAAAGAAAATAGATTTTTTGAATTGTTTCATTTTGGTCCGTTACACTATCAATCACAAAGTTAATAGAAAGTCCGTCGAGTGTAACAATTTGTAGGTCACAGTACACAGCACACAGCACACAGGAACACATCAAACCATAAGCCATACAACCTCAAGCTGACGTCTCCCGTCTTCGGGATGAATTAACAAGGAGGAGTTCAGCATTTATATCAAATATTTTAACATTTTAGCGTTTTAACTTAAAAAATAGGTTCGATGAAAAGTGAGAACTTGAGAGTGTACTCAACTATCTTAGCATGTTTTGTGCTTTTACACGTCAACATATCGTAGCAACGTCCACATGACAAACAAAATTGTGAACATCAAAAACAGTGACAGTGTTTCCACAATTGTAGCAAGTGCCTCTGATGATGGTTGTGTCAAACTGAAACATGTAAGGCAGAAATAATAATAAAAAGTGACCTACAAATTGTTACACTCAACGGACTTTCTATTAACTTTGTGAAAGAAAATAGAATTATGCATGAAGAACGAATTTCAGTTTTTCTTAGGTTTATGTGTAGGGAAGTGCTCTATTGCGCTAACACAGTTATGTTGGCAGGGCATGCACTGGCTTTGGATGGGATGTGGACGGTGATCTGCTAGCCATCATAACATCAAGCTCACCACACATCATACTGTGGGATGCCAACACAGGCAAGAAGAGTCAAGTGGACACAGGACTCCGGGATTCCATGAGCTGTGTCCGATGGTCCAAAATAGGATCAGTGCTTGCAGTTGGCACTGCTAGGGGTAACCTCACCATCTATAATCACAGCACAGCAAAGTGAGTACTGGTGTACATAAGGGGCTTTACTTATGGAGCCCAGAACCATCCTCATTAAAGATCCTATCATGGACTATTCAAAATATATTAATTTTAATGTCCTATTTGTACCTGCATTTTTACTGAAGTGCGTTCTGTACAAAGTTATGTTTCTTTAAGGGTGGTCCATGCATTGCTCCATATTAATATCCTAGGCTCAGTACGGAGAAAATACATTCCCTGCTTTTATCTTTATTTTTGAACTGAAAGTTTAAGAAGGGTAGCCATTTGAATTTACTAAATCATTCAGAAGATGTCACTACAGGGAAGCAGCAATTAGTGATGCCATTTCCTTATTTATGCACCAACTGTAATGGTTCTTGCATCAAATTAAGATGAGGAAGCCAACACAGACATGATGTACAGAAACCTGATCTATTGCAGACGTATACCAGTCCTTGGGAAACATACCAAGAGGATCAGCTGTGGGGCCTGGAGCACGGAGAATTTGTTGGCATTAGGCTCTGAAGATAAAACCCTTTCCATCAGCAATACTGAAGGTGACACCCTGCGTATCATTTCCCTGCGCTCCGAGCCTAGTGACATCCAGTTCTCTGAGATGAAACTTGATGAGCGATTGGATGGAGAGCATACTGTGAGATGCCATCTGCACTGCAATAAGTTGCTTTATAGTGTCTGTTGTATATCTCTTCTTTGAGTGTTGGCAGAACTGAAGCAAGTCAAATTCTGATTTGCATGACAGATCAGTTGTCCTGAATTTCATTGGGAATAAACAGATAGTTGGCTGTATAAGATTTGAGGTTTTTACGGTGGGGACTTTGAAGAATGCCATCTTCTGGGATGTGGTGCCATGTAGATGTTTGGTGAACTGATGTTTTTGAGGAACATATCACCTCCATCTTTAGGATAGAAAAATCTGCGAGCAGGGAACTAGCATGAGCAGGTGGCTGCAGACTGAGTCACCAGTCAAAAACACCCAGCTATATAAGAATGGGAAGGGAGGGAGTGTGGGCTACATGGGAAATCAGTAGAGGGGAGAGGAGAGGAGAAGGGTCTGAGGAAATGGGCCAGCAGGTAGCAGGCAAGAGCTGGATTAGGATTGTGTCAGGGGGGAAAGAGGCATGGCTACTGAGTGACCATTGACCCAGTAGCCCCAGGACTAAGCTGCCAAGCGTGCAGGTTGATGGATGAAAAGTTTCTAGTCACTTCTTTTCCCCAGCAATCTTTGCTTTTTGATTTGTGCTTTTAATATTAAAGTTACTTTCCATTTCTTATTTTGAACTTTGAAATGGCCACCTTCCAGGAGGTATTTATATTATAAATCTGCATGCAGCTGTGATATTACCCGAGTTAATGAAAATTTGAAAAAGAATGCTCATTCTAACAGATAGTTGTTACATGTGAAAGTGGTTGAAACATGTAAGGACAAGTCCATCTGCTAGCATTCAGTCATGTATAATACTGTCATGGTTTAGAGTGACTATAAACGGGGTTTTGATTGGTTATCAGATTTATTGGATTGTTTGACACAGCATATGACTACCTGCCTCCACTAACTCCACTGACTTACTCTGTCCATTAACTTGTCCTGCTTATAACATCTTGGCAGGGACCACATAGGAAACACCCCTCCTCTGTTGCAGTGCAATTGTTGCCATGGAATTGTGCTATGTCTGTTGGCAGAGCCGTTACCTAGCAAGGGCTGTTGTATAGTTGCTCATTTTGCAGTCATTGCCTAGCAACAGGTCTGCATGCCAAATTGCTCCCTCCTTAAGCCTCTTTATCCTGACTGGCCTACAGGTGTATGCCATTTCTTCTTTTTCGAGGGAGCTGTGTTTGTAACCTCTGTGATCTCCCTCACCTTCCTTCTCCATGGCTTGGTTCTTGTGATGATTACTCTCAAACTGCTCCCACTGCTCCCTCCTTAAGGCAGCTTGTCCCAAACAGTTCCCTGATTAGGTGCTAGGTTTGAATGATACTGCAGTGTGGCAGTACATCTTTGTACTTGTAGTGGCTATCACTGGGACATGGAAGTGACAAAGAACAGTTCAACATTTGTATTGTCATTAGTACTCTCTAAACTGATGACTTCTTGTACTCGTAACTGACTGCTAATTACATGCTCTACTTTACAAGCTAAAGTCCTGTCCACTCCTTGCTGCACACTCACAGATCTCTCCATATGCATACTTGTACATATGAGAATAAATGCATCACTTGCATTGTACTGGAATACAGACCAATATGGGATGCAGTTTAAATTTCACTAATACTCTATGTATGTGCATTACACTGTGGGTTATTCTAAACATTACAGTTGGAATACATGCAGCTTCTTGATGTGACATACGCAAGAAATGGTTGTGAAACAGTCAATATAATTAACTGCTTAGCTGTAAAGCATGTTATGGTGGTGGCATATAAACCACACATGAACCAGTGACTGTTTAATTTTCTAATTTAACAAGACTGAGTTTAAGTAAGATACTGCACCCATAATGAAAATAACTGTATAGTATACATGGATTGGATTCATAACAAGTTGCTTCCAGTGCCCATGGTGTTGTGATTGTAGCGTGGGTCACACCTTATTATGTAACACAGTCACAAAATGTGCTTGCAAGAAGTTTTTACATGGTATTTAAAATCATGACATTTGTAGTTACAATAATCTGAAATGTTATGCGAGCAGGAAAGTCATGACAAGTATCGCCAGGATCAGGCCAAGTTTGATGTTGTATTTTGTGACATCTTCATCAAAGGTCATTGGAAACTCAGGGGAGGAGGAAGCCTGTGTGATGAGAAGGGGCAAGTACATCATGGTTCCTCTGTAGACAAGTCAAGGGACACAGTTCACAATGAAACAAGCTGCTGATCTGATGAAAATTTAGAAGACATTGAATCATTTACATTTTTATATTTTTGTTCTGCTTTGCTGGAAACTGTTGCAGTTTCTGACCTTCCTTCAGGATAAAATGATACACCAAACGTTATGACTTTCCATATTCAAATGTGAGCCTGAAAAGTGGCCAACCATGACTTAGGTTTTTCATGGGTTTTCCTTAGTCACCCTTAATAAATGCTGGGAAAGTACCTCAAATTATATTATGACCACCACCTTCCACATACCTTCCAGTTCATTATTCATTGATCAACTAATATGATGTAAGATTTGAGGCTTTCACGGCAGTGACTATGAAGAAAGCAGTCTTCTGGGATTTGGCACCGTGTATATACACGTTGCCAAATCCCAGAAGACTGCTTTCTTCAACTAATATGATGCCATGTAATCATAGCTACCGATATTATAGAACAAACCAGAAACAAATAAACTCAGTAGGATGCAAGCTGTTGTAAAAAGCGATGAGAATGGAGAAGTATGGATGACGATGTGCAGGTGAGCGTGCTGGTGGGCCGCAAGACACTGTTCCTCTACAATCTTCATGACCCTGAGAATCCTGTGGAGTTGGCCTTCCAGCAGCGTTATGGGTCTGTGGTTACCTACAAGTGGTAAGTATGTATGCACTTTTGAGGGTGTCTGGTTGGAGGCTTCTCAGCTCATCCAGATTATGCCTTATAAACCCACTTTTGAAAGTTCATAATTTTTGCAGTTTGACATTCTTAATGTCAAACCCTGAGAGCATTGGTTATTTCCGGTTTGATACATCTTGGAGAGTGTCCCCCTGTCATCGGTAGAAAGTCACTAGATTCTGTTCTCAAAAAAGTTCACTCTTCCTATGCTGGTTCAATACTTTTCTTAGTAGATGGCAGATGGATGGCAAAAATGTAAAGTGTTTTGATACTACTACTGTATATCATTCTGAAATCCTAACTTCAGTACTGTATATATGTGAAATTATATTGTGTATGTATTATTGTTTATAATTTGGTTTAGATACTGTAAATAGTGAAGTTCATATAGTGACTGGCTATGGGCTGGACAGCCAAGGGGTTGGGAGTTCGAGCCCAGGTAGGGCCAAGAATTTTTCACTTCTCCATGTTGTCCATACCAGCTCTGGGGCCGACCCAGCCTCCTATCCAGTGGGTACCAGTGACTGTTTCCCCGGGGGTAAAGCGGACGGAGCGTGAAGCTGACCACTCACCTCAAACTAGTGCTGAGGTCAAACAAACGTGGGTCTATACATCTGCTCCCCTATATGTCTTCATGGCATTGTGATTGATTAGTTAAGCACAGGGACAACTTTACCTTACTCCTCCATTGTTAATCACCAGGTTGTGGTGTATAGAACACACTGATAGTGAATTTAAATCAACTGTAACACTGCCGTAACCTTCTAAGTCTGGTTAAAAGCATGATCATTCATATTCCTTCACCTTACTGCTATAGTCACAGTTCTAACATTGGTGTAAATTGATTCTAAAGAGTTTCAACAGTGGTGCATTAGACTTAGTATTGCTTGGTTTCTGGTCTTACCAGTTGTCTGATATTCCAAATTGAAATCAGAATTTCAGAGAGTGCATCTGTTTGCATCCTCATTAAAAAGTGTGGAAGTACCAGCTCACCTGGGTTCATTACGGAGAACCACTGATTGAAATGGCCCATTCTAATGGATCCAAGTGGGTTTGTACTTACACCCCTTGTCACCTGTAAACAGAAATGAAAGCAGTTTCCAAAACATTGTGTTCCGTTCAGAATACCAGGTGATGAATGATGACCAGCAGTTGAGTAATCATAACTCAGGGTTAGAATGGTTGCAGTGGGACAGGCTCAGTCCAGAATTACATTTCATAATCTGAAGGAAACATCAACACGTTCGGTGGTGATTACTACCAGCAGGTAGAGCTTCAAAACATAATGCTAAAGCCTGGGAACTGATTACTCTGCAGGTTTGGGGATGGCTACATTTTGCTGGGCTTCAGTGCAGGCTTCTTTGTGGCAATATCCACACACATGAAGGAGGTGGGACAGGAGCTGTTCCAGGCAAAGAATCACCGGAACTCACTGAATGATATTGCTGTCTGCAGTCGACTAGGCAAGGTGGCTTCCTGTGGTGATAATCAGTGAGTACTGAGTCTCGTATGGTGACATGGCTGAATTCGCCTGTGTTATGACACTGTATAGTATGGTACTGGATTATAAACATTTTGGAAGGACATGTTACCTCCATCTTCAAGGTTAAAATGAGCCAAGCAGGGAAAATTGCAGGTTATGCAGCAAAGTTGGGGGAAACAGGTCACATAGAGCAGGAGAGTTGGTCAGTCAACCAGGAACAGGGAAGCGGAAACCAGGCCCTGGCCAAGCAATTGAACCCAAGGGACTTATGGAAGTCTTACAGAGAAACCTCAAGTGAAACTAAGAGACAGATATGAAGTAGCTCATTTCTTGTAGGGTGAAGATCCATGACATGTCAAACCTGCAGGAGACTTCCAGTGTTTTGACTGTGGAGGAGGATGAAGTTGAGCGTCTCTCCTGGAGTGAGGATGGACAACTGCTGGGAGTGGTGACACACAGTGGCACAATCTACATTTATCTGTCTCAGCTGCCCATTATTTGGTCAGTCTTCAACACCCATGCTGCTGTGCTGACCAGCCTTACTGAGCTCACTCTGTACAGCTGTGAGGTGAGTTCTCATATTCTAGGGCTCTCACCATGTGCAACAGATTTAACAGGCAGTGGTGAGTGTGTGAAATGTTTCTATGAAACCTGATTGTAAGAACATTTGAATTGCAGATTTGATAAACTGCAGAGGTCTTATATCATCAAGGAAGGTGGAAGAGTTGATCTTAAATGCTGGATAGGATTGATTTGCATGTTGTCCTTACACACAAATGACTTAACACTTGCTATTTTGTCATTATGTTTGCTAGCAGTCATAGGTAGAGTATGCAGTTAGGAAGGTCCAGGAAAATCAAGTTTGATTGAAATTAACTTAGACACATTAGCTTCTGGTTTATGGTGATGATGTAGATCTGTTAGGGGATACCATGAGTACCATAAAAAAAATCACAAGCCCAAATAGATCCTAGTACTGAGGTTGGTATGTATTTAAAATTGTATTAAAATTTTCTTTTGCATATAAAAAATTAGTTATTATGTTAAAATATTGTGAGCCAACATTGGGTCATGTTGTTTTCCTCCTGATGGTGGGAGATATCGTTTATTTCTCTTGAGTTTATTTTCTTATTATTAGTCATGTAGTTTACATGCATGCTGTGTCGTTTGTACTGTACTGTACAAACGACACAGCACACACGTAAACTACACGACTAATAATAAATATAATAATTGAGAAGTCAACATTCAATTTCAATTTTTTCAATTTATTCTCAAAAATTTTAAATTCATGCATGGCAAGATTAAATGTTAACTGGATTCCTAAAGCTGCTTGTGTTTAAGTGTCAATCATTCTTTCTTTATGGAGAGCCACAAGATTTATTGTAAATGCATTGCAGAGCAAAGCTCCAACCCCCCGGCTCACTGTGCATCTGCCAATGGAACCAAGTTTCATGTCTCTGGGTCCATATCACTGTGCAGCAGGCATGAACAACCGAGCATGGTTCTATGAGCTGGGGCAGAACAAAGCCACACTACTGCGTGACCGGGAGTACCTTGGAACGGTGAGCAGCCTGAGGCTCAGTGCAGACTATGCCTCAGTTCTGTATGAGGGGAAAATACAGCTACACATGGTGAGTGTCTCTTATTCAGTGTCACTCTCCTTTCTTCTGTATGACATCCTTTCTAACTTGTTCCCATCTTCTTGTTCTCCCTCTTAAATATTGTCCTTTTGGTGTCTTCTGAACTTTCTCTGGAATTCTTTGTTCACTCTTGAAACATGCCAGTACCATCTTATTCTGTTATTTATTAATTTTTGTTTCAAGTTATTTATCTTAAGTTCCTTCTAATTTTTATGTTTTCTTATTCTCTGTTTTATGACTTTTCCTTTTCTGCTTTAAAGCCTCATCTTTGTGCCTATCCCAATATCTGTTCTGATTATCTTCATGTCTGTGTTTATGCTTCATACATTAATACAGTCAGATTGGCAGCTCACCACACTGTGATCCTTAGTCTTCTTGTGCAGGTAGAACTCCAGTCATTATTTATCTTTGGCGCTGGATGGAGGTGAGTGATAAGTGTCATGCACCAGTTGCTTTATCTCCAGTGAAACAGCCCCTGGTGCCCTTTAGACGGGAGTTTGTGTTGACCCCATACCTGGTCTAAAGGGCAAGGAGAATAATTCCTGCTATTCAACTTGAAGTCTGGTCATTGTAATGACTGACTTACCCAGCATTTAATAATGTATTTTATATGTCGCATATTAATATTAGAATTTCAAGAAGAAGGTAAGAATTGGTTGTAGCTTGCAACTTCTGCTTTGTACATGGACTGACTGTAACTTTTCAGATTGAGACGCCAGATGTCAGCAGCGAGGACAGAGAATCGAAGATGTTCCCCTCTCAACACCCACTTGACATGAACATCACTGCTCATGCCCTTACCACTGACTTCTTGATCTATGCTTCGAGCGTGAGTGATTCATCCTCAGTTGAAATCATGGAGATGTAGAATTTGAAACTGGTCAGTCCAGAGGAAACCTTCTGGCTTGTCAGGAAAGGGACATTTCAGCCCATGGGATCAGGGCAGTGAGCAGTCTAGGAATAGTGGAAATGTTGCCATGTCTCTGCAATCAGTAATTCATGTTGAAGTCTCCCAATCTCTTCCATAGTTGAAAATCATATAGTGTGAGTTCTTGTATGAGGGACAACTGATTTCATGTCCATAGTGAAGCTAATACCTGAAGGAGTACTGTAATGCCATCAGCATCTCACAATGAAGGCCAGAGTTCAATTCCATGTGTGTACAAAATCGTCTTGCAAGTCATATCGCAATGTTGAGCAGCCAGCATATTACACTTGTGCTTCCTGGGTTCAGAGTGATGAAGCTTAGTCTATCTTTCAGGAATCTGGAATTTTAAATTTCCTGGTTCTGAGGATTTGGCTGGGATGTTAGGTCAGCAGTTCATTTGCATATGGGTGATTTTAAAATTCCTGGTATTTGTGGGTATTCACTTAGTGGGGGGTGGAGTCCAACTGGGTTCACTCGGCCCGGCGGCCACTGATTGGTCTATTGTAGCCTGTCACAGGATAGAACAAGTGCCTGAGTCTTTGTGGGGGTTATGTAGAACAGTGATTTAAGGTCTGTAGTAATGATGCAAAGTAATTTTTTACGAGGGTTGTACTGAAAGTCATGAGCAACAATTCTTTGTAAAGTAACATGCTTTATTATTTACAAACCAAATACACCACCTCAATATACAGACCTTTCTTTATTTTTCCACATAATCGCCACTTCTTTTTACACATTTCTCCCAGTGTTCTGGGAGTTTGAAAATTCCCCTTCTGTAAAATTCCATTCCAGCCATCCGAAGACACTGACACACTGCTTTCTGAATTGCCTCCCTTGTCTCAAAACGTTGTCCACGCAGCTGATCCTTCGCAAATGCGAAAAGATGGTAGTCGGAGGGTGCCAGATCAGGGCTATAGGAGGAGTGTGGAAGAACTTCCCACCCCAAAGTCGGGTGCAAAGTAGTCTCAGAATCTTACATTTGTGATAATTTTTTTGACAGATGGGACATATCCATTATTTCTTCCTTGAAGACTGGAAGCTGGTGACAGACTTCCAGCACACTGCTGGCATCCGCGAGCTGTATGCAGACCAGACAGGCATTCGCCTTATTGTGGTGGATGATCGGAGTGAGGGCTACGTATACAGTCCAGTGAGTATGGGTCTATGTTACTGAAACAGTCTCTCCCTTCATGGAGAGGCGATGGGACTTTCAGTCATGGCACACTACAGATCACTTTCCCTCTCTTGAAATGCATGACTGTGAAGGGGCATTTCTCAACCTTTTGAACTGTGCAGAAGGCCTGAGCAACCCTTTCTGGCCCCGCAGACCATGTTATTTACTGCACTTACCTACCTGTGTTGGGACTCTTTTTTTGGGGGGGGGCCAGAAGCTTCTACCATAATCTGTATGAACATACCTTGGCATTATGATCTTTAACTAAGTGGTATATCTCGGCTCTTTTATGTTCTTTCAGTTCTCGGTTTGCTTATTTGAACGACATATATATGATTTTTATATTTTTGCATACTGAAGTCTTTGTTTCACAAAAGTATTTTAATTTGTAGCTGGAAGCAGCAGAGTTCACGATTCAAAGGACAGGGAAGGATAAGACCTTTGTTCGCCTTTTGTAAAATTGTAGTTTTTGTTAAGAAACAGCAGCAGAGATGTATGAAGTTATTCCCTGTAATTGATGTTGCAGATAGCAGATGAGATGTTGAAGATACCCGATTTTCCTGCCAGCTGCTCTGGTGCTCTGTGGGACTGTGATGCACAAGAACATAATGTGTTCATAGTGTTTGATGACACCAAGATCATCACATATCTGTATGACAAAGATTCTATTGAAGGTATGTAAGCCATAGCCCATAATGTATGACCATACATCGAGATATAACAGCATTGGAATAAAGTCAGAGATGAGCAAGTTTCAATTCTGAGGCTGTATGCTTGTAAAATAATTTACTGACTGTATGGAGCAGTGTCCTTCTTCAGAAGTTAAGCTTGTCTGAGCCATTCAAGAAGTTCCTAGCCTTCTGTGAAACTTGTGTTGACAGGAGTCCACCATTACAGCCTATCCAGGACAGTATAGGAATCTATTTCACACTTTCCCACACCTTTTGTTTAGGATTCAATTTAAGATTGTTCTATTTATTTGTAGGTCTTCCAAGAGGTCTTGTTTCTTCAGCATCCTGTTTATGCATAGGTCTTCCAAGAGGTCTTCTCCCTTCAGTGCCCTATTTATGCATACATCTTCCAAGAGGTCTTATTTCAGCATCCTACTAATGCATACATCTTCCAAGAGGTCTTATTTCAGCATCCTACTAATGCATACATCTTCCAAGAGGTCTTCTCCCTTCATTATCCTGTTTATGCATAGGTCTTCCAAGAGGTCTTCTCCTTTCAGCATCCTATTTATGTACAGGTCTTCCAAGAGGTCTTCTCCTTTCAGCATCCTATTTATGCATAGGTCTTCCAAGAGGTCTTGTTTCTTCAGCATCCTATTTATGCGTAGGTCTTCCAAGAGGGCTTCTTCGTTCAGGTTCTCCACAACATAACAATAGTTCACTTTTGAATTTCAGAATGTCTGGAAGTAACCTGAGTCTGTGGTTAGTGTGTCAGTAAATTCATCAACCTCTTGTAGTGTTCTGCTTTTGTATCATGTCCTGGGTTTGGATTTTGATCCCTATTTGTCAGTACTCCATAGAAACATAAATAAGTAGCAAAGTCCATAAAGTGTAAGTAGTTTAATGGAAGTAAGTAAAATTGCCTTTACATGTTTCTGCCATTATTGGCCATTGTCAGAAGGTACAGCACACTGTAAAGGAGTTACTTTACAGGTGTTGCTGTTTGGATATAGGTTTTTTGCCATACTATCATAATGGGGCTGAATAGTTAGAGAAATTAAGACTAAATAATTAATACACTTAAAGTACGTTGTGAATATCGGGCTGGTTGGTTAAAACCAGTTAAAATAAGATAAAAAGTGTTACTGAGTAGGTAGAAGAATGTAATAATGTCCTTTGTTTCTGTTGTTGGTTAGGTAGAATTTTATTGGCTGCTGTACTGTCAGCAATATATCTGTCTGTGTGACGTTATGTAATCCAGTGAAGTGCATGCTACCACGTGCTTTGATGATTGACAGCAATAGTTGAAACATGTAAATGCAAACATTGTCATTACTCCTATTGAACTAGTTACGCTTGTTTGGCTCATACTATTTTATGTATTAAGAGGTGTAACAGTTCAAGATGTCTCTTATAAAGATACTTCTAGAACCATTATCTTTACTACAGAGATTAGAGGGTCTCATGGCAGTGAATGTTAAATTATTGTTTTATGGGGGGTACTGCCATGTGGTTTAATAGATAGGTACATATAATTTGGGCGAACCCACTGCTTCCATCTTCAGGATAGAAAGATGGGGTCAGAACATTTCTTCAAAATGTTTTTACCATTCTACCAGAGTGCATGGTGTGAAATGTCTGATGTCTGTAGTCTCAAAATTCAACTTTGCTGCTTGTAATCTACTTACATGTTGTAATTTGCTCATGTAACCATTACTGGCTGACTGCCATATTATCACGGTGCATGCACACAGTCCAGCTGGCCGAGCATTGCATATTTCCAGTGTTAATACACTTAACTCCAAACACCTGTAGAAGCAGGAGATTTAAAGTCCCCAATTTCTAAATATTTAACTGTTACTCCGAAGTTACAGTATGGCCACCAATGCTGTAGTACTGGAGATTTAAAACTCCCTGTTCCCGGATGATAAAGGTGAATTTTTGGTGCCTTGAATGGTGTATTAGTCTTTAGAGTTTCAACCCTCCCTTCTGGTGTCTGCTGTGACTGTTTCTGGTTGCAGGCACAAGCGTAATAAACGCAGGCTTATGCAAGCTGCCAACCAATCAGGTTCCACTGCTTCTGTTCGGTGGACAAGTAGTGTTGGAGACTGCTAGCGGTAAGCTGACGCAAATGACACTGCCCACACATGAGATTTCAGGACCCAGCATACATGATATTCAGAAGGGAAGCCTTCAGCAGACCCTGGATAGGCAGTTGAAGTTACACAGGTCAGTATCCAGATATGGACCTCAGTGGGAATGGATTCCTTGGGTGGTCTCCGGTCTGTCAGCCAGTGCAACAGTGCAGTAACTTAAAAGCTGAAGTTGATGCAAACCACGCATAAGTGTGGTACATTATACTTCTGATTATCTGTGGTAATGGATGTGAAAAGTCATGCAAATAATAAACAAGAAGTTCTGGAAAGAACTAATTGCCTGCTTTCCTTTCACTGTAATTTTATTATCTGATACAAGCAGAATTCTTTGTACTGAACACACAGTTTCCTTACATTTGTAGGCACCTTGCACGTTTTCTATTGTGAAGGCTGACTGAAGCACAGGGCTGCACTGGACAGTTCTCGTGTTCTCCTGAGTATATGAGGTGCTGATGCACTCACAGGCCACAGCCTGCTGCTGCATTGCTTGTTCTGTGAGACTGTTGTAAGGTACTCCATTCAGTTCTCAGTCATCTTGAGGCATGGGTTCCATTGACAGACAGTGTTTTATCTCCATTTTTTCTAGATTCTCTGAGGCATGGAAGACATGTCAGGTACTCAACAGGAAGGAGGCGTGGGAGCAACTGACAGAAGGTCTGTTGAGGAGCCTCGAGATTGAGTTTGGTAAGGATCAGGTCACACTGTTAAGTTCTTCTGAATGTGGTTCTCACCACATGTTCTGTGCACAAGCATAGACAGTTTGTAGCAGTGTCTAGCAGCAGTCACCGAGGGATGAAACCTGTTTAAACACTTCAATCTGTGTATGGGTTTCTCTTTTGTCAGCCATGATTACAACACTACTCCAAACTCATGCAGGGTGATCCAGGGATATTTTATTGCATAAGTGGAGACTTCTGTTAGAGGGGTATAAATTTTGTGTGAATAATTCCAGTGACAACAAAGCTCAGAATAGAAGACAGGAAGAAGGCTGTGACCCAGATGGAGGTGTGCCAGAGCTTCAGTAAAAACTGTGTAACGTGTACTATGAAGCCAATTCCCTTGCAAGTCACTCCTTTTTATGATGACCTGGTACATTGCTCCTGTAGAGTGCATGAGGCCCAACCAACCAGCACACTGTGACCTCAGTTACCCAGACTGGCTATGTCTGTGCAGTCATCCCCAACTGTTGGACACTAATGTGGCGGTGTGCTTCATATGGAGTATTGACACTTCAAGTCCTGTCTGATTCAGGTTCTGTTTAGTCCAAGGCAATACACTTAAACCAAGGTCATTTTCTGTGTTTTTGTCAGTGTCTAACTCCCTAAGGTGGCAAGACTTTTCAGCAAAGAACTAATTGCAACTTCAAGAGCATAAAAGTTTTACTTTTTTCCTCATGTTAAATTATCAGGAAGCCTTTTGATTCATTTATAATGCAAGTAAATATGTATAGTATACGTACTGTTATTAATAAAATCCTACACAGTGCAAAGTCTGTTTGCTTTGGGGGAGAAAGGGTATACATTATATATTGTTCAAGTTTTGCAATAGTTTGTGCCAACTTCGGCCCTCTTCACCTTGGAGTATCAGATGTGATGCTAAGCATCATGGATACTGATGTTTCTTAGGAACATGCTTCTACCAATATACACAGTATCACATCTCAGGAGGCCAGTCTTCATACAAATTTGTGTTCATGGTTTGAAGTGCTGTGACTTGGCATTCCCTTATTTGTTTGTGCCAGTCACATGTCCTGTGAATTGTGCCATTATATGCCACGTTATTGGCTGCAACTTGATCAGTTTTTCAGCCATCCGTGTGTACCGTCACATTGGAAATGTGGGAATGGTGTGGTCCCTGCAGTCCATACAGAATATTGAGGACCAGAGGCTCCTGGCTGGACATGTTTCCATGTTCCTTCAGGACTTCGACAGGGCTCAGGTGAGGTTATGCGATGGGGAAATGTATTACAGGGAGGTTGGAGAGAGAAGAAATGTTTCATATACTTGAATGGAAGGCAGTCCCCCCATATTATTAGAGTTAAAAAGTATAGACACAATTTGGCTTTATCTTAAAATTGTAAGCTTTTAAGGAGTTGATGTTTCTAGATACATAGTTAACGGATGCAGATACTACCCACGAATCATAGAAAGCCCTTTCTGTGGATCACATTTCTGCTGATAACAGTCATTATTGATCAGTTCTTATTGTCTATGATTCACTACTGTAGAATAATGCTGGTCTAGTAATTGCCTTATAATATATATATATATATAT